GACAAGAAATGATGGTCAGTGTAGAGGGGGGCAGCTCTGCTTTTTGTAAGACTCTGAAACTGACATGCATTTAGGTGTCCCTACAGGGACTTGCACCCCTGCCTGAACACCACGAAGTCACTTCCCCCACCTTTTCCTCACCATTACCAACCACAGTGCCCAGGGCCAGATCATCAGTTTCTCACAAAGTTTGAAAGAACTGTGTCAGTCTCAGCAAGAACTCGCTAAAGCCATTTTCACATGGTGGCATAGCCAGGCTTACCCTGGGCATTCCTAGTCACTGAGAAAACATCTGACACAGCTCGGTTAGAGGAAAACACGAGTCAAAACATATTCTGGTGATCCTGGTGAAGAAAGTGATGCCTTTGTAGAACAGGGAAGAAGATCAGAACAAGTCAATACAAACGCACTGCATCTGTAGGGCTCCCTTTCTCCTCTTGTTTTGAAACTCAGGGTGAAATCAGAATGATCACATATTGTCTTTTTCTGTCTTGCAACATTATGCAAAATGCTGGAGCTTCTCCTTGCATAATTTCTATCCTGTGAGTCAAGTTGCAACCCTATTCCTCACAGCTTGCTTTAGTTTACACATTTTCCCTGAGTAATAGCATGAAACAAATTTTGCTTTGAAGTTTGATTACCAAGAAGTACTAAATATCTGAAGTATTGGTTTATCTCACATAGCACAAGGGATACAGTGAACTAATCAGGGGACAGACAGCAGAATTATACTGTGAATTCAGACAGCAACATATTTATAAATATAGATTTCAACAAGTATCTTGCCATATTTGGTTGAAAGGTAAAATTTCAGGATTTCTACCAGCATAAATCAAGCCTTACGGCTGTACCTTTGGACTTTGCCTTTGCGAATACTCTGCAACATGTGCACATATCCCTACATAACTACAGTACACTCCCTGCACTGAGGTTTTTAAGTGCAAAAGTCAAGGCAGAACTGCTGCCAGTACAGGAAGCAAACGCCATGAGCTTCAATCTGGGCATGTTGCAGGTTGTGGGTCTGATGCCGATGTACATGGGGCACTGGACACCACTGACCGCTCAAATGGCTTGGCCTGGGGAAGCTTTGTAGTAACCCTTCCCCTTTATATTCTTTCTTATTTGCACAAGTTGTTTTGTATCTGATATAGCGCTAAGGAGGCTAAAAAACAACCAAGCGTGAAAGTGTAACAGGAGCTGCTAAATTTCTGCACTCAGAAATGAAGAGTAAGAAAGGAAAAGATTAAGAAAATGCAAAACTACATTTCAACCAGGATTTTGGTTTCAATCAGATCAAGAAATGACCCCTACCTCTTCCCCCGGCAGAGCTTTCAAGCATTCAAAGCGCAGACTCCCAGTGTGTTGCCTGAAAAGCCCAGGCATGAAGTTTATCCTTTAATTTGAGGCTTTGTCATTTGACTGGGGGGAAGTAATCAGGACAAAGCCCTGGACCATGCTACTCAAAACATGACAACAGTCACACCAAAAATCCAAGCTGGCTGCACGAAGCAATTAAAGTACTGTTTACTATTCCATGACAGTTAACATGTTGGACTGACCTTTCATTTACCGTTTAGTACTGAACATTAAGCTGCAAAATTACTCATGCTTTGCATTTAGTACTGGCATCAAAACTAACCACATTGGATAGCTATTCCCACAGCAAGACACACATTCCCTCTGCCCAGCTGTGTGTGTACTTTTATAGGCATTGTATTTGATATTTAACATCACTTCCACAGATTATATTCATCCGTTACTATTAGGAATTATTGGTAACATGGCTCCAAAATGTAAAAAGCATATGTAAAATGTCGGGGTGACACAGCTGGTAAAATTATGTGCCTTCCTTCCATGCTGGGAGAGATAAAAAGAGAAGGCTGGTGTATGCCCACAGGTCCCCACAGCAGCTCCCAGCCAGATGGCAAGTACAGAAGCTACGGCAGAAAAGTTTCTTTGTTTGCTCTCCTTCTAGCTGCTTACAGCAGCCATGTTATGAAGGGAAGCACAAAATGTGTTTCACAAGAGCCTGGCAGACCAGCAGTTGGAATATTCTCTCTGAAATGGGCATGTTTCCATTCGACACCCTCAGGCTGAACTTGGGCAGGAAGGACCTGGAGTTTCCATTCCCTGGGGTGATGCTCTTATGGAGAGGCTATAGATGAAAGAGATTAAGATTCCAGCAAAGCACCCTTGCCAGCATGCATTTGACTGATCGTAGCGCCATGACTAGTTAAAATTATGGTTATTTCTATCCTTGGCTGTGATTTGCCTGGCCAGACACTTGGCATGCCCAGGACACTGCATTCTGACAGCAGAGCTAGGATTTTTGGGTATGGGTTGCCAACACAAACACAGGTCTTTTCCATTCACCCCGTCCTCTTTCCAACTTTCACTCATAGTGCTGTCCTGCTGCAGGCACTGCATCTCAAATACTGGAGGCTTTTTCATTGGACATTTCTAAACCTCTTATTTGTTACATTGTTTTTGAAACAGTCACAGGCACTATGAATGGACAGTCTGTGAATATCAGAATAATATTCAGGTCGTATCCAGACGGGAACATTAATAAATACAAATATACGAAGGGATTCCCTGCCATTTATAGGGGTTTTTCATATTCACAGTGGCTATTTATATCTAAATCTCTATTTTCTGTACTGTGATGGAAGTTATCTGGCATATTCTCTTCCAGTTCAAATATTCCCATTGCAGATTCAAAAGGGCAAATTTTTAAAGACTGCTCAGCATGCTAATTATGACAGAATCACCTCCGATTTGATCTTGCCCGCTTCTTTTTCAGTATTCCTCGACAGGTACCTGGTGCAATCAATATGCTAGCTCAATGCCCAAAATTATTACGAGATTGCTGACAGAAGGCAACTCAGTGTATTTTAATAAGCAGTATTACTTCCTGAAGAAAGAAGCAGCCTAGCAAACAAAGTTGTAACTGTATTTAATGCATATTTTGCTTTTAACAGCAATTTGCCAGTTTAAACAGCATAGACCTTACAATGCTTAATTAGTGAAGAGGTTATAGTGCTTATAAAGTTGTATTTAAAATATACCTTATTCATTCTCTATTGAACAACATTTTTAAACAGCCCAATGTTATAATTACATGCTATACAGCAGCTGCGTGTTCAGCCCACTGCAGTTAAGGCAGTGCCAGCATTCTCATCATGAACATTTTTCGGGGTTTGAACACATCAGTCATAAGATTACAACACGGCTTGAAAAAATGACATCCCAGAAGTGAATCCTGTATTGACTTCAGTCAAATAAGAGTAAAAATATTAAAATGCATCTAATAAAGGACTCAACCTAAATTAATTTTGGACGACTGCTGCCTTTGCACAACATGCTCAAAATTTCTAAAATGAAATTTAAAAGAAGTCAGCAGAGAGCACAGTCTAATCAAGTTTCAATGAATCCAAGTACAAAGTGTTGTAAAGTGGTGCCACAGATGCACAATAACCACCTCTCACATACTGCACATTTTAACGTTCACAAGGCTTCTTCTGTGTAAATATTTAGACTGGCAGGTAAAAGCAGTTCTACCACCAAGTGAATAATAAAACCTACCACTTGCATACGCTTACTGGTTGTGATGAAACTAAATTGTTTACCCAAGTCAGCACACTGGCTACTGCGGTAACATATTATTCCCTATAGTTAGGATAGAAACATCTGAATTTTTATGCTGTTCATGCTGTGATAATTCAAAAGGCATCATGCAGCCCACCAAGCTGAAGCCATTCGTTGAAGTAAAGACAGATGAGGCAAAATACTGTATGGAGAGGGACCCAACAGCTTCTTCAATGCAATGCCAGAGCCTGCTTAAAGAAACTTACCCTTAGTTCACGCCCTAACAGTTTCCTGGTTTTATTAATAAAATCCTTCTTTTAGGAGTATGGTTTGATTAAAAGAAAATCTTTTGTCAGGGATCTACTTAAACATGTTCTACCTCTGCTTTAAAGCAAAGTGCATCTGTAAGTGCTTTCCTGAAAAAATACCCCACAAAAGTGTGCTTCAGGAGTTGAACTGTCATGGAACTATGACAAGCTGATGAAGCTTTGGGGAGCTGCAGAACCAAGTTCTTTATGCATCATTTGCCTATTTATTAATTTTACGCTTCCCCATTTGAGAAATCCTCCTTCTGTGACCACCTCTTTCGTAACAATGCTTTGGGAAGCACTCTACTGCATACTTTTTGGATTTAGAGATGAGCATGTAAGACTGAAAGAGTTTCCTATTTCAAGCTTTCATGTACAATGCATACACACATTTATTAATAAAAACTTGTCTATTAAAACAACATCTATTTGTTCTTTGGACCAACTCCAGCCTCCATAGGTGACTGTAGTATGTCTTACAAAACTTTCATGGAAGATTTAAAAAATAGTACTTAAAAAAAAAATGAAAATGAATATATTAAACATCATCAACACAGATACAGAAGGGGGAAAACAAAGCAGAGATAACCCATTCCAAATTCACTGCTGGCACAGGTTAGCAGTGTCCTCTTCAAGTCTATTTTCTGCCTTCTTGCACAGGTTCCTTTATCTCATGGTCTTAAAAGGATGCTGCAAAGCCAAGAGGAAATTCCATGTATGCCCCCAAATCTGGGTCACACACTAAAAATCCTTCTTCTTAATAAGGGAGCATTAGCATGCAGCCTATTTCAGCTGTGTCCTGTCAGACTTTCCGTACACGGGCACCTGTAGAAATGGGGCAACAGTATTTCTCTACCTCAGAAATACCTTGACTGCTATAAGAATAAATGCATTCATGGCTGCCTGGACCACAGTCACAGCAAAAAAGACTACACAAGTACCTAAAATATAGCTTTGCCTCCTTCAAGCTGACTCCTGCAAACAGAGCAGGTAGTAGACAAGAACTATCAACAGTAACATTGCTAATGGAAGGTTTTACGATACCATATAGTAGTGGCTGCTTTAGTTCAGCAGAATTAAGTTTTGCAATAAAAACTCCCTAAGTTGTTTTTTGTTTGGTTTTTTTTTTTATAAGGGCTCAACACAAGTCAGCTTAAGGGATTGTAAAAGAATGACCTGAATTGTACTCTGTTACTCAATAGTTTCAGAACCTGTCCACACCTGATGATGGCCCACATAAGTTCATATACAAACATGTACACTAGTTGTACCAGGGGAAAAAATAGCAAATGATTTCCAGTCTCAGTTTCCATTTCTGTATTCTGCGGTCCTGGACACAATACCACAGAGAAATGAAATGTTACAGCAGTAACCCATACAATCCATATTATGATTCCTCACCCGTGAGCAAGAACGACACAGTGTGTTAATAGGCAAAAATCAGTTACTTACTGCATCAAAGCTCACCTGTAACCATGAATTTCACAAAGATATTATGGGCTATCATCATGTATAGAAATGATCTTCATTCCTAAATTTGAATACTTCGTATTTTACTGAGCTATTAAGAATAAATTCCTCAAAACTTTCAAGGTAAGGTGAAGCAAGAAGTTTCAGCTACAGAAATGTAGTGCAAAGGTTCAGTTTGGCACTGCAACAGTATGGACAGACAAGAATTTATGGTAAACTGTCTGGATTTAGAAAAAAGAACCCTATAATTGAACCAACGTTGTCAAATGTATTGCATACCATTGTAACTTCACAGTAATCAAAATCATACATCAAGATTTCTATAGAAGCAGCAATCACAGATTGCAGTAAAGTATACCACTCAAGAGGAAAAAAATTGCATTTTGGCAATTTCATAGTCAACTGTTTCTTATGCTTTTCCAACAGTCATTTGTCATTTTTCCTGCTTAAAAGGTGCACATTGTTTCTCTTCAGTCCTCATGAGACTTCTCTGCAATGACTTTACATTCATACTGCAAAACAGAAATTGACAAAATTAGTCAATTTTATTAATTTACATAACTAATGAAAAAGACTGCTATGAGGGTGATTTTTCTACAAAATATATGACAAAATAGCTTAGCTTATGTTTCACCTAGGTAAGTTTGGTCTCCCTAAGTCATGTGCACACACTGTTGGCTGCAATTTCTGTCTCTGAGCAGCAGAAATAGCAGTTCAGAATTATAGGATGGCCTCACTTCTCCCTAAACACAGGGGCTCTTATTTAGCTCCTGGTTCTGAACGGCCTAGTAGCATGCAACTGAGAGTGTACAGAGCAAAGTCATGGGCTGTGCTCTGAATAATATGAATGATTCACTAACTAGATCAAAAGCAATGATTACTATTTCTACCTTACTCCACATCCGTAAGTCAAATAGCTGGTTGGTATATATGAAGGAAGGAATGCGCATTGGGTTTCGTGGCAAGGTTTTGGTAGTGGGTGGCTACAGAGGTGGGTTCTGTGAGAAGCTGTAGAAGCTTCCTCCATGTCTGATGGAGCAATGCCACCGGCTCCAAGATGGACCCACCACCGACCAAGGCTGAGCTCATCAGGAACCGCAGTAGCGCCTCTGGATAACACAGTTAAGGAGAAAAAAACTGAGCAACAGCAATTGCAGACAAGAGAGAGGAATGGGGCTATGTGAGAGCAACAACTCTGCAGACACCAGGATCAGTGCAGAAGAAGGGGAGGAGGTGCTCCAGGTGCTGGAGCAGAGATTCCCCTGCAGCCCATCGTGCAGACCAAAGTGAGGCAGGCTGTCACCCTGCAGCCCATGGAGGTCCACAGTAAAGCAGATATCCAAACGCAGCCTGTGGAGGACACCATGCCAAAACAGGGGAATGCCCAAAGGAAGCTGTGCTACCATGTGTGCCTGTGCTGGAACAAGCTCCTGGGGGGAAGGTGTTTTTAAGATTTAGTTTTACTTCTCATTATCCTACTCTGATTTGATTGGTAACAAATTAAACTAATTTCCCCAAGCCAAGTCTGTTTTACCAGTGACGGCAACCGGTGAGTGATCTCTCCCTGCCTTTAATTTCAATCTATGAGCCTGTTGTTATATCTTCTCCCCATCAAGAAGGGGTAGGGATACAGTGGTTTTCGTGGGCAGCTGGCATCCAGCCAGAGTCAACCCAGCACAGAATGACACTGGAGACTAAAATTTACTAGAAGACAGTCAATTCCCCCCTACAAACTTACCATTGCTAGCTGCCTGCCAATATTGCCCATAGTTATTCCACCAGCAAAAAATATACATGGCAACCAGGAACGAACGTAGAGGAAATCTGGAGATGTGTATCTGGAAAAGAATAGTCTGAGCTCAACATTGTGTAATACATAGAATCCTCAAATCACATGATACAAATTCACAGTTTTAAGTATTAGGACATTTCAGCTTTAAAAGAAATGTATTACAGACATTAAATCACTTACAACAAATAACAAAGAAGGCTTCTTATTGATTATAATGCCATTTGTTCTACTAAGAAAAGCATGTTACATTGTTGGTAAGGTAACAATTTTATTAAAATAAGCAAGCTCCAACCACGTGTCTTACACGCACACCAAAGCTTTCATGAACAGTTTAATTTACACTATGCTCAAAATTAACCGCTGGCAGCTTTGGAAATCATGTCAAATTCTACCCCCTTCAGTTATTCTAATTTTACATTATAACTTCAGGAAATAATCATTTAACCTTAAATGAGTAAATACTTACTGATAAACTCCATTGTAGACCAGAAACTGGGATACCAATGTGGCCAAGAAAGCAATTCCTACTCCAAGACCAAAGCCACTTCGTGATCTATCAAACGTCCACCACAGTCCAATTGACAGGGCTGCTAGTGTGAGAGACAACTGGATATTGTTGGCAAAATCCACTTTCTGTGTTGATTGTTAAGGATAAGCTTAGAAATATCATATACAACTGTAAAGCAGTTTTGTCTATTCTGCTTATCATATTTTGGCTCAACAGAAAAAAACATACCATTTAAAAAATACAGCATTAGCCTTATTGGCTACCTCACAGCTATATACGGAAATAAGCCTTGTAAGTGTTGCCAATATATCAGGAAACTAAAAACTCATGAAAATTCTTCACATTTTAGGGTCTCAGCTCTGTACAAGAGAGAAATGACTACTCACCTACCAGACAAAGCAGATGTTTTACACAGACATACAATGCATGCTACTGTTCAGAGTAAGGACATCTCATCCTTACCTGGTCCTTTATTACTCTAAGCATGAAATCTTAAATCTAGTGTGACTCCTACTTAACTGCAGTTTTATCTACATGGTAGTCTACATTCAGCTAAACACTAAGCACACTGATGTTTTCTATAAAACAAAATGTAAAACAAAATTCAAGTAAAACAACACTGAAAATCAGTTTTGTCAACCCTGTGATAAAAGTGTCAAGTCACACCAGGTATCTCTGTGGTGTTTCACATTCTTCAAAGTATTCTTGAAATACTAACTCATCCTCACTTCTCCTGTCAATAACAGATTATTAAAAAGTATGCTGTCAAGTTTCATAAGCCTAAAAGCAAAGTTATGGGATGACAACATAAAAACACTGGCCAAATTTCTCACAAAGACCTGGAGAGAGACCCAGAGGAAATGAGAAAAGTTCAACTAACTGAAACAATAATTGCGGGATAAAAATCAATAGCATCAGAAAAAAATGTCAAACAAAACCAAAACCACACCAAATACAGCTATGTACAGAACTTGTAATATGAAAAGAAAGCAGTCTGGAGAGCTGTCAAATAGGAAATACAGACTGTATATAAATGACGTCCTGGAATATGCGTAACAGCTGTTAGAAGCCTCCAAGAAGGTTTGCTGTTAATAATATGACCCATGCAGCAAGATGGTGTCAATTCTCATTTATTCCTTAAAAGCGGTGAAACCGCATGTCTTACGCAACATGTACAGTTCAGGTCAGGGAGACCACAGGACCAGATTAATGTATCTTTGGAAAGGAGACCAAGCTTAGTGAGGGACAGTGGGTATGACTCTGAACCTTGGCAGCTTCAGCTCATCCAACCAAACCGGACAGGATGGCTGGTGGGAACAAAACCAAACAACAAAACCCATCTCAAGGGCCAAGTCACCTCTGTAAGAATTCAGCCAGCTCCCATATCTTTCACTTGCCCTCTTCCTGAAAATAAGAAAATTCAGTAGCACGCAGTAAGAACTTCTTAGCATGATTTTTGCAAACTGTGCTGGAGCTGACACCGAAGGAGATTATTGTTCCAGAGATGATTAACTTTCCTTCTAATTAGTTTACAAGAACCCAATTTTCTCAGATAGATCCTGGTATTACCTGACAGAGGAGGCAGCACGAATGACTACACAAAACCACTAAGACTCACACATGTACGGTGTGCCAGCCCACATGAAAAGCACCCCATCACCCAACATGCCCCTAGCTGCTTCAGAGAGAAGGGATGCCAGTTTTGAACACATTTTTGCAAGAAGTATCTGAATATCTACACAAGTAGGAGGAGCATAATGTGCTGCAACACACTGACTGACTTCTAATTGCTCTTCCTGAATGACCACAGGAATGGTAACTACTCTCCCAGCACCAAAGCAATACTTGTAGAATGGGGTAACAAAGCCTAGCTGCTTTGTGTAGTCCTGAGTACTACCTGATCCTGAGTTTTACTCATGCTTTCAAAGTGCATATGCTTCACTGATGACCTCGATACTGGGCTTCGACCTTTTACTTCGGTGTTAAAAGGACATCAACCGTTAGAATCTCTTGAAGTACTTTTCTGTAATACCTACCACATAAATATTTCATAGAATCATAGAATGGTTTGGGTTGGAAAGGACCTTAAAGATTACCTAGTTCCAAACCCCCTGCCATAATAAATAAAGACTGTAAGTAAGACAAAGCCAAATATTGAGACATTTCTAATTAAAAGATTTTTCAGAATGAAAAAACATGAAACCACCTACAACACTGCTGTGACAGTTTAACACTAACATATATTCTGCATTTCCCTTGCAAAAATGCTGCACATTATACCTTTAACAAAATTCACCATGACTGACTATGTGAGCTTTGTTTTAGTGGAAACCCATTTGTTAACACAGATTTCACCAGAATATAGGATACAGCACTGGCATGATTTATTCCCACAAAGACTGCTACACATCGCATTACACTGGACCATTCTCTCTTAAATTTATGTGGCTCTCCCAGATGTCTGTCCATGCAGGGGTACAATAACCCAATCACAGCTGTGGAGACAGGAAAGAAAAAAGGCACAGAAGTTAAAGCACTAGCAATATTTAACTAACATAATCTTTATTTAGACTCTGACAAATATTGTCACTACCAAAACAGATCTTTTAAGGATACACAGTACAAAACATACATCGTTTGAATTTCCTTCTTTTACAATTTAACTGTTTGAAAAAGACCTGTAAAACTTCAGCAGCATCTTTAACCACTGCAGCAGTGACCTGGTAAAAGGAGCAAAACAGAGAAAATTTGAACTAGGGGCAGAGGATGAAAGAACTCTGCAACCTACCAAAATCTGCTGTCTCACACTGTAGTTCAAAAACAGCAGTAATAGCTTGCAGGCTGGCACATAACAAACATATAGTGGTTATGTTTGGAAGCAACCTTAAAGCTCATCCAGTTCCAACTTCCAACCCCCCTGCCATGGGGCAAGGACACCTGCCACTAGAGCAGGTTGCTCAAAGGCCCATCCAACCTGGTCTTTAACACTGCCAGGGATGGGGCATCCACAACTTCTCTGGGCAACCTGTTCCAGTGCCTCACCACCCTCACAGTGAAGAACTTGATTCCTTATATCTACCCTAAATTCACCCTCTTTCACTTTTTCCCCCCCCCTTGCCCTACCCCTACATGCTCTTGTAAAAAGTCATTCTCCAGATTTCTTGCAGGCCCCTTTAGGTACTGGAAGCTGCTCTGAGGTCTCCCTGGAGCCTTCTCTTCTCCAGGCTGAACAAACCCAGCTCCCTCAGCCTGTCTCCATAGGAGAGGTACTCCTGCCCTCTGATCATCTTTGTAGCCATCCTCTGGACTTGCTCCAAGAAGGTCATGTCCTCCTTATGTTGGGGGCCCCAGAGCTGAACACAGTACTGAAGGTGGGGCCCCACAAGAGCAGCTTAGAGACAAGGATGTCGTGTGGGACAATGCCAAACATTTTGCACAAGTCCATGATGATGGATGACATCAGCTGCTCTTCCCTTAACCACCTGTAACATAATCCTGTCATTTTTCTCCTTTTCCAGTCAGTGGGAACTTCAGTAGACTCCCACAACTTCTCTAATATTGATAGTGGCTTAGTCACTTCATCCAACAGTTCCCTCAGGACCCATGGATGCAACTCATCAGGTCCCATAGAATTGTATACTTTCAGGGTCCTTACATGGTCTCAAAACCTGCAATTCCCCTACAGTGGGTGGTTGTTCTTCACTCTCCCAGTCCCTGACTTTACCTTCTGCAACTTCAGCAGCGTGGCTGCAGCAACTGTCGATGAAGACTGAGGCAAAATGCTTATGGAGTACCTCAGCCTCTCCATATCCCAGGTAAACAAGGCTCCTGTTTCACTCCAGAGAGGGCTCACATTTGCCCTAGTCTTCTTTTCATCTCGTATACCTAGAGAAGCTTTTCTTGCTGCCCTTGACATCCCTGGCCAGACTAAATTTTATCAGGGCATTAGCCTTCCTAACTTGATCCCTGGCTACTCAGAATTTCTGCGTGTTCCTCCCAGGTGACTTGTCCTTGCTGCCTCCCTCTGCAGGCTTCCTTTTGTGCTGGAGTTTATCCAGGAGCTCCTTGTTCATCCACACAGGCCTCCTGGTATTTTTGCTTAACTTCCTTTTTGTCAGGATGCATTGCTCCTGAGCTCGGAGGAGGTGATCCTTGAATATTAACCAGCTTCCTTGTGCTTTTCTTCCCTCCAGGACTTTATCCCATGGTACGCTACCAAGCACATCTCTGATGCCAAAGTCTGCTTTCCTGAGCCCAGGGTAGTGAGCTTGCTGTGTGCCCTCCTCACTGACCTAAGGATCTTGAACTCTACAATGTCACGGTCACTGCAGCCAAGGCAGCTCTTGAGCTTCACACAGAATTCACATTCCCTACCTGCCTCTCCCTGTTGGTGAGAACAACGTCCAACATAACACATCTCCTCCTTGGCTCCTCTGTCACTTAGAGAAGAAAGTTATTGACACATTCCAGAAAGCTCCTGGATTACTTATGCCCTGCTGTGTTGTCCCTCACACAAACATCAGGGTGGCTGAAGTCCCCCAAGAGGACCAGGGCCTGTGAGTGTGAGCCTGCTCCTATCTGTCTAGAAGGCCCCATCCACTTAAATAACTGCAAAACAAATACACCACAATAAGGGCAGAATATGGTTTATAACATTAATATTTTGTCTCTTCTGTTATTACTAGCAGGTTTTGTTTGCATAATGTTTTTCTGTTCTTCAGTGCTACTACAAAGGCTCACAAAGAAGAGAGAAAGCCCAGAGCCTACAGTAGCTGTTGAATACAGACAGGAAACAGGACTTTCAACCAGAGGGAACTGCTATGCTCTTTAGGCATTTCTTCATAAATGTGTTCTCTACTGCAACTGCAGCTAAAAAAACCGTTACCAACACCACTAAGAAATAACACTGGTACTTAATGTTAAACTGGTGTTGCAGGAGTGGGGCAAAGACTGAGTTATTAACATGGACTCCAGCACCCTCAGCCTGGCATCCTTTTGGAAATTTGTTAATGCAAATGCTCTTTATTCTGCTAGAGAGGAAACTAATCTCCAGGATTTGAGAAATAAATCACCAGTAAAGCTGGAGGAAAAAAAGCTCCCTGAGCAACTTTCTTGCCAAGGGCATTGCACCAAATTGATGACTAAGTGACAGATGAAAGGACTTCTCTAAAAATAGCCTTGGTCACCACTGATTATAAATAAGAAAAATACCTTTATTCTGTTCATAATAATTAACCATATGTTCATGTCAATTCCAGGAAGGCTATGCAGGTGTGAACAGTAAGAAAATGGCAAGAAAAAGAGGTTCCCTGTATGTATGCTAGCAGAGAAGATCAGAAAACAGAGAAGAAAAGACTGATAATGAAAAAGAACGAGCTTGAAGACCTCAATGGGATCACACCTGCTGGGAAAAGCCAATTAAGGCAGTAATATCTTTAATTAGGTGGCTTAAAATCAAGTAGTGCAAATGCCTAAGCAGGTGACTAACTATAGGCCATATCTACTCCTTCTACCAAAACCACCAACCCATCAGAACCAGAAAGGCCCACAGGTTTCTTCTGAGGCAATGGCAAGATCTGGCCATCAGGACTACCCCATACCACAGCTGCAGAGTGTTCTCAACCCAAGAGAGAGTAAGGTGCAGTCTGCTGCAAAGAGCTGACAGTGCAAACAATACAGTGCACTTTGTAAACCTTATGTGTTGCTCCTGCAACTTAGAATTCTGTCATTTCAACCCGTTACTCTGTACATAAAAGATCAAACATTCACCAGACATGTTTGTCAAGGCAATCAGTTTAAAAGTATAAAAGTAAAATGCAGCAAACGCAGGGTGCAGACCAAAACCTAACCAACAATCTCAGCAAGACAACCAAAAGAGGACAAAGACAACTAGTAGATAAAGCAGGTATGTAATTTCCACCATAATATGCCAAACGCATTTCCACAGAACAAAACTGACATATTCAGAGAGGTATTTGGAGGGTTTCTTTTCAAGTTAAGCTCCTCTGTGACATCTGGGGTGTAGTGTTTCAACAAAATATCAGAAGGAAAGCTGTCAGATGACTAGGAAAAAAAAATAGGCTTAAGTATTATCATTACCAAAACAGTGATGCCACTCAAAGCTAGTTTATTGACTCATATTGACCCAGAAACCTGAGCTGCTCAATCTTACTGAAACTGACCTCTACAAAGATACCACCTTCACTGTAAAACTTTGCTAAAGCAGAGTCCTCCAGTACTGCCTGCTAAGAATACTCCCTTAGTAAAGTGATAAACTGTTCCCATGGGATCAGTGATCTTCAGGACCAAGTAGAAATCCAAATTCCCTCAGGCTTATAACATGGAATACTTGATACTTGAAGATGAAAGAAGAGGTATTTCTTACTACCTACTATAGACATCTCACTTAAACTAGCTAAACACACAAAGGCCTCAATTCCCCACATGGTCATGGGAAAAATGGAGCATGTTCACATCATCTGACTTGGTACATGAATGTAAATGAGGTGTTCTGGTCTGCAACGTGCCCCTACAACCAAAAACTGTGCACCTGGCCTCAACTCCCTGAGACACAGCCAGGTATTCCAGCTTTATTGAGCTAAAGCTACACTTCAAACTGGAATAAGCAACAAAAGGAAAGCTGAACCACAAAGGGGAACACTGCTCATAGTGGTTTGCTGTACTCAAAAGAGGGTAGTACGCCACACAAACTGAGACATCCAGGGTATTTTCAAGGGCTGCATGTAGAGCACACTCCTGTAATCCAGTCTCAAGGTTACAAATGGCACCACCTTCTAAAGTCTGCTAAACTTGTACTCTAGCCCGGCAGAAATAACAAAGGTTATACTCTGTTAATACTACTACTACAGTAAAACAAGTTGGCAGAACAATTTCTGGACACATGCATACATACTTGTGTATACATGGGGAGATCAGAAGGATAGTGTGACCAGCAGGTCAAAGGAGGTGATCCTGTTCCTCTACTCTTGTGAGACCTCACTTGGAGTGCTGTGTGCAGTTCTGGTGTCCTCAACATAAAAAGGACATGGAACTGTTGGAACAAGTCCAGAGAAGGGCCACGAGGATGATCAGGGGACTGGAGCACCTCTCATATAAAGACAGGCTGAGAAAGTGGGGGCTGTTCAGCCTGGAGAAGAGAAGGCTGCGTGGAGACCTCATAGCAGCCTTCCAGTATCTGAAGGGGGGCTATAAGGATGCTGAAGAAGAACTCTTCATTAGGGACAGTAGTGATAGGACAAGGGGTAACGGGTTAAAACTTAAACAGGGAAAGTTTAGACTGGATATAAGGAAGAAGTTCTTTACTGTAAGGGTGGTGAGGCACTGGAATGGGTTGCCCAAGAAAGTTGTGAATGTTCCATCACTGGTGGTATTCAAGGCCAGGCTGGACAAAGCCTTGGGTGACAAGGTTTAGTGTGAGGTATCCCTGTCCACAGCAGGTGGGTTGGAACTAGATGATCTTAAGGTCCTTTCTGACCCTAACAATTCTATGATTCTATGATAGTAATAGCTTGAAAAGGGCAGCGATGATGGAAATTTTTATCTTCCACACCTTTCATATAGCTTTTTCTAACTATATAACTAGCTCTCCACCCTTTCCTCTCCATGCCAGGTATACACAGACAACTGAACTTACCTGATGCTGTGCCACAGCAAGGTGGTACCCACCAAGCTGAGGAGAAGATGCTTGTGATCACATCAGGAGGGAAGAGAGTAACATTTCTCTGGATCTGAAGCAAGTTTAATACTAATGCAAGAAATACGCCAATAAAAAACAGCACTACACCACGAATTACCAAATTCATGCCACGACTGGTTACAGATGAAATGTATGGGCCACACTTTTTTGGTAAGGCTGGCATTGCACCATTTTCTGCCATGACTTCTTATGTTCTCAGAGACATCCAACAGGCTGAGGAGGGTTCACTTGCAAACAGTAGTTTGACTCTTGTCAGTTAGGAGACACCCAAACCCTGAAAAATAATAAAAAAAAGGTGAAAATGCAGAAAAGAAACATTAAATGTATTTCTCTTGAATAAACTGGAGATTTGGTTAAAAAAATTACTATTTTATTTTCCTGAATTTTTCTCAGGAGGCAATTAGTCATTTTGAGAGCGGAACCAACCATAGCTGCTAAACTGCCTTACAAAGAGAACAGGTTTTACGAATAGCTTTGTGTATGAGACAGGCAGATGAGGAGGAAACATACGGGATGGGACAGTTAGGAATGTGAAACCGCAGAGAAGAGGGGAAGAAATGAAACCAGTATCAGATGGAGGAAATGCTAGCTTTGCAGTAACAACAGTTTTTCTCCCCTTCTTTAAGGAACAACTGGAAATTATATAATTCAGAAGCAAGTAAAGAAAGCCTTTAGTTTCAAGTCAGCCACAGAGGTTCACAGATCTCTCCCTGAAGAGATGCCACAAAGTACTTCTCAACTGGTAAGTGAAATCCAAGAAATATTTTTCAGGATGAAGTCAGAATTTCAGCAATCCCGCAGCACACCCATTTTCATAAGCCCAGATAAGAGTAAACAACTCAGCAAGCCAGGGAAGTTATCCCAATACAGAAAAATGTTTACCAAACACTTTTGGTGAAAACTGCCACATGTTATCACAAACCCTAATTGTAATCAGGGACAAAAGAACCTGAGAGTGAAGGGAAAAGGAGCTCTCTCTGCCCGTGCACTAGGTAGCATCCTACATGAGTAACTCTGCCGGCACCACAGGAATGGAAGAGTTCACATCCCAATCACTCCTTTCTAAGAGAACCTGTCCATTGAGCCTTGTTACACATGGATTCAGTGCCATACTCATGTATATAACAACGGTTCTGATCGACAGCTTAGCCACCTGGAACTTAAGAAAAAAAGCCCTGACATTGTTTTCAAATTTGAAACTGCCAACTGGTGGAGGCTTTTGTTAACTCTTATTTATGGCCCTACAGGCACAAGGGGAGCCAAAACAGCACATCCATCTCCCTTCCTCCCTGGCTTCAGCAGATCCCAAGGAAGCACTCTGAAGGGGCAACAGCAGTGCAGAGGACGCAGCATTCACTTCTGCCGATTGAAAACCAAAACGGAAGTTAAATACATGCAAGCTAGTTAAGATACTGCAGGTAACTGCATAGAAGATGCCATTCATCATTCAGAAAAAGTTTCAAGAGGCAAAACAAACCAAAAAATAAGTTCTGATAACACATAACTTTCCACAAGCAGTTTGGGGTCAGCAGAGTCCTTCTAAGAATACAGGATCTCTTCTACACAGCCAATTCTCTGTGTTATTTGTAATCATGAACATGTCTTGAGGGGAATGAGAGCAACCACAGTATCTGGGTTCTTAGTCAGCTTCCTGACTCATCCCAAACAGATGTCTGCATCAAGGCTGGCACTGCATCACACTTCCCTCAAGCAAAAAGGTGCTGCTCCAGATTTGTCTTTTTTTTTTTCCTCCTCCAGATGGCATGGCAGCAGAGCTTGGATAATACATTTAGCCTCCAGGAAAGAAAGCAGAGTCACAAATACATCACTACTGCAGCTGAGAGACTCCCCTGTCCCTGGAAGCTTTTCCCACCAGATGATCACAGGAATTCCCAGAATTTACAGTAGTTTTTTCCAACAGGGTGCATTGCAGACTGTAGGTCCCAATTACAAAATCTACAGGACAACGTACATAATGGGTGGTTTAAAATGATACTGTTACACCCGTTCTTAGCTTTATCTCACCTATGGAAACACGCTAACTCTTGACTCTTCACTTATTAACTATCCCAACAGCTCTTGGCACTTGCTGAAGTCTGCACATCCCCCCCCCCCCCCTTTTTTTTAAAGGCATGATGAGAGCTGTTGTATACAATCCCAGGTTTGGCTCTGACTCGTACAATGAAGTTCACATTTTTGTGTCCCTCTTTAAATAAGCTTTTCTGTTGCGTACCAAGGGCAATTTATGTTTCCACTGTCATAAAGTAGTGGCTCACATCCTGTGATCCATTACTACATTCAAATCTCTTTTCTTCCCTATTACCAAACTCCTTGCACCTTGGTAGCAGCCCCAAGCCTCACACACCAAATTTCAGCCCATAGGTATTACTTATTTTGACACTCAACATCACTCCATTTTTCCTGTAGGATATCTCAGTCCTCTTTGGCCCTGCAAACAGTTCCCAAGTTTGGGTCATCAGCAAACATCACTACTGCATCCTGTTTTGTGCATGAAGGTCATCAATTACAATACTGAGTGATATCAGCCACAATCCCTCTCTCTGATGAAGTCTATTAATAATTTCCACACAGCCATTATTTCACCATTTTACAGCATCTCTTGATCTCTCTAACAAGACTTTGCTTCTTGTAATTCTTCAAACACAATAATCACCAACAAGTAATGCAAGGTCCCAAATTAGCATGATGCAATAGTTTCTGTCCTGTTTTTTCACCCTAGACATATTGTTCCTATCTGTTTTATCACAATTTCCAAATTTACTTCACTCATTCACTCTGAGACCTTCTCACATACCACGAACAGAGCAATGGGGGAACAGAGCAAGATGACTGACACTCACATAGATTCTTCAGTGCCTCAGACTGCCAGTGTTAATGATGCCCAACACAACAAAGGTACTTACTACTGTCACCTCCCCTGAAAACAGAAATTAACATCTCTAAAGAAGACATAAAATGGTTTGGGTTGGAATGGACCTCAGAGATCACGTAGTTCCATCCTCCCTGCAATGGACAGGAATACCTTCCACTAGACCAGGTTGCTCAAGGCTCTGTCCAACCTGGCCTTGAACACAGACAGGAACGGGGCAGCCACTTCTCTGGGCAACCTGTTCCAGTGCCTCACCATCCTTACAGTAAAGGCTCTTTCGGTTTAAAGGCATCACATCACACCCTTCTTCTGGACTGGAAGGTTAGCATGCCTGCAGGCAATGGAGACCATCTCTGTCTTTAAGCTTATATTTTACTGAGGGTTTCCACTCAGATGGGAATAGTTCACATATTGAACCAACACTACCTCTGAGCCTTCATCTCTTGGGAAGGCATATTCAAAACTGTAACACCACATTGAAAGCTACATGGTTGGCACTGTCACAAAGCCTCAGCTGCACTTCCCCTGCACGCTGGCCCACAGCTTCAACCCAAGCTTTTTAACATACCACCAAGAGCATTCACAAGGCAACCACATGATTTCTGGCATTACGCAAAACGTTAACAACTAAATTATGACCCTAGACACTTTCAAAACACTTAGTCACTTAACTGTCTTCTAATTAAAAGATCTGTCCTGCAAGCACTCCCCATGCTCATGAACAGCCGCCTGTTGTGCGCGATTCACAACTTCTGACACAATACAGACACATTAGGAACAACAAAGTGTAGTGAGAGCCAAGAAAGAGAAGATTTATTCAAGCAACACCACGCAGGAAATGGCAAAACCGGTAAAATTACGAGAAACCATCTGCCTTCAGCGAGTAAAGGCCAAAAGCAAAATACCCCCCTTCTCCAGGTACCAGAAACTGCGGTTCTCCCGGCCGGCCTGCTCCGGATCCCCCGGTCTGAGAAGTCCGACCCGCCCGGCCATCAAGCCGATAGCTTCAAGCCAGCGCTAGCACCTCCAGGCCAGGCCCATTAAGCAACCCCGGCGCGGGACCGCGGGCACCCGTCCCGGCTCCGCCTGCCCGGGGTTTAACCACTGCCGGGGAGAAACGTCTCCCACCGTTCCCTCCTGCTGCGCACAACGGGCGGCAGCCGCCGCCACCTCTGCAGCACCGGCAGCCGGACCGCCCGCTGCAGCTCAGGCGCGGCGGGGCCCGGCGTTATCCCCACCCTGAAGAAGTCTCCGGCTGTGGCACTGCCGGGGGCTCGACCGCCCGCAGGGAGGACGAGGCCTGGGGAAGCCGCTGCCGACCCGGCTCATCCCCTTTACCTCAACACAGCCCTGGGGCCCTGGCGCCGAACCACCCTTTCCCTTCGCGCGGAACCCACCACAACCCAGAGACTCACTCGGCCTCCGCCATCTTCTCCCTCCCCGCGCCAATCCCCGCCCCGCGCAGCCTCCGCAGGCCCCGCCGAGCAGCTGACGGGGCAGCCGCGGGGCCGGGGGGTGTGGAGCCAGGCCTGGCCCTTCGGGCTCTTGTGCTGACGGCTGCGTCCCCAGTGCCGGGTGTGGCTCCGTGAGCTCACCGGGAACGCGCGGTGGGGCGAGTAGCGCCGGAAGGCGCTGGTCAGGAGCACCGTGGCGAGGGGTAGGTGGAGAGTCTGCCAGCAACTTCGTTGTGCGCCTGTTCAGTCTGAGCAGCGCTGCGCATCCTTTGGAAAGGGGCTGTTACCGGCATGAAAAAAAGGTATATGGCGATACATGGCTTGTGCTTTCACCGGGGCATGGTTTAGCTGTGTAGGGTTTTGCAATATCCCTGCTACACGTTTTGATCACAGAAACGGATGAAAAGAGCATGGTCTAGGAAGGTGATTGCCCACCTCCACGCCAAACCTCATGTGCAGTACTGTGTCAAGCTCTGAGGCCCCCATGATAAAGACATGGACCTGTTGGAACAAGTCCAGAGGAGGGCCACAAAGATCAGAGGGCTGGAGCAACTGTCCTATGGAGACAGGCTGGCAGAACTGGGGTTCAGCCTGGAGAAGAGAAGGCTCCAGGGAGATCTTAGAGCAGCTTCCAGTGCCTAAAGAGGCCTGCAAGAAATCTGGACAATGACTTTTTACAAGGGCATGTAGGGGTAGGACAAGGGGGAATGGCTTTAAATCGGAAGAGGCTGGATTTAGGGTAGATATAAGGAAGCAAGTTCTTCATTGTGAGGGTGGTGAGGCACTGGAACAGGTTGCCCAGAGAAGTTGTGGATGCCCCATCCCTGGTAGTGTTCAAGGCCAGGTTGGACAGGGCTTTGAGCAACCTGGCCTAGTGGAAGGTGTACCTGCCCATGGCAGGGGGTTGGAACTGGATGAGCTTTAAGGTCCATTCCAACCCAAACCATTCTGTGATTCTATGATCTATAAAATGTTTCCCAGTTAAGCTGCTAACCTGGCTCCTCCCAAGCACCTGATGCTCTGAGGACTTTTGCATGTCCTTGGCTTTATCAATTGAGGCAAAAAAGAAACTCCAGAAACTACATTTTCTTCACCACCCTGTGGCCTCTCGGAGAACATACAATATGAAGCAGAAAACAATTTGCTTTAGCTTGTCTTAATGAGTAGTAAAGCAACACAATAAAAATACACAATTTATTGTATATATGGTGGAGTTTAGGAGAATAGTGCTGTTATTTTCCTTTATAAACCATATATATTAATTGCAACATATTGATTATTATTCTATTACTGAACTTTTTCCTTTGCATGAATAATGAATAATAAAAATGAATAATGAATCCTTTGAATGAAATAATGAAGACAATTTATTAAAAACATTTGCACACTGCACTTCCCCAAGCTTAGTATTTTATTGCAAAAACTTTGATAGAGCTTTCCGTATTACAAAGTCTGAAGTGATTCAGTGCAGGTCCTATTATAGTTCCCAGAATAATGATTGGATAGTATGGAATGTGTAACTGTATTTACTACAGTGGCGTCTTTAGTGATAACTGTGATTTCTTTGTGCTGGTATGTTGTGAACAACAGTGTCACCAAACAAGTATACTCTCAGAGGAGAGTATATGGGTCTGTAATAGACAAAAATGTAAAAGGAAGAGATTTACAGCAGCAGAGACCCATTGTGGTTTAGATGAGCAGTAAATTTTAAAATCATTCAACTGGTTTGTGTCACACAGGAGCAAAGTCTTTTTATTCTTACTGAGCTGCTTGCTTTGTCTGTGGTTTAGATAGGTACTTTGCTGTACTTGAGCTCAAATTTTGGGTCAAGAAGGACAAAAGAGTTTTTTCAAATAAATTAAAATAGCTTTCCCTAATGTCAGATAAATGCCTTTGGTCAGCCACATGCCCAAGGCAGAGCAAAGTGCCCTACCTCTTTATGCCTTCAAGACCAGGACAGTCAGTCTGAAAGTAGAAATTTTGTGAACATAAAGTGTGTGCATGAGAGAAAATGTGACATAAGTAGATGGAGACTGAAAATGATTGCTGGATCTGTCTTTCTTTAGACATGAGTGTATATGGTGAAGTAAGTATTTGCCTACAAATACGTTTGGATTAGTTACAGTCGGGTCTGCTGCTGTGTTTGGTACTATAAAATTACAAGAGCTTAATTCCTACAAAAAGTAAAATGACCATAGGAGAAATATTAGCTGTATTAGTAGAGGAGTATTAAGGCTAATATGTGAGAAAATAAATAACAGGTGTTGGTGTAAGTGCAAATCCAGGACTTTATTGGCACTGCCAATTTACACTGGCTGAAGTCTCAGTCCTTGCACCCATCTGGTTATCCTACAGGGTACAATGACCTGTTGCACAAAAATGGGAGGAGCATGAGGGAAAAGCATTTGAAAACATATCTGAATTGGAAATTGCAAAATAAATACATCAGCAAATAGTTTTGCAGACAAAGGAGACAGACATATGACTTGCAGAGAAATGTCAGTTGCTCCAACTGACTGGAATTGCTATGAAACATCGTGGGAGAAGCATCTTTTTTGGAAAGCAACGTGGAGTCGTTCCATTGCACTGACTGCAGAACAGGACAATAAAGAATGTTCTGGGTTTAGTTTTGGGACATAAATATTTGTTGGATATGGTAAATCTGGCAATGAAAAACTCAGCAAAGTTCATACAAAGCAGAGGAGCCTAGAGCAGCTGCATGCATACAGAAAAAGTGAAATTCTTCATGTGTCCATAACAGTTCCTTTTCTAAAGTATTTTGTTAAGGTCTTAAAAGCTTCCTGATACATTGATTCAATGAGCCAAGGCCAGTCAGGTTAGCTGAAGGTTTTTCCATAGCAGGACAGTAAAGGAAGGGTGAGAAGATGATGGATAGCTGGAGAGAGGGAAGAAGAGGGAGAGAAGGAGGGAGGGAGTGGTGGATGGATGGACAGGAGAAAAACAGTAAGAGAGCAGGTAGGAAAACCTAACCTGTCTTTCTGTGGTGTTCCATGATAAAATGACCAAGTGCTTCTGGAATTATGTGCATGTGTAACTTGGGAAAAGCCTATATGTATGACAAGAGAAAGCTGTCTGTAGAAGTCTGGAGCTGATTCCTGGTAGGGCTTCCAGAGTTTATATAGATAAGGACAACATCAGGCCCAACATTACTGTTCTTTTCCTAAGCATGCTTTTCGCGTGTGGAGTAGTGGGACAACCACAGAGTGCATTCTGTATAAAACGACCATCTGGGTAGGGGTCTCATTTTCAGGAATTTCGCAAAGTTTGCTTTCTATTATTTGTATGATTAAATATCAGTAGAGCTCTCCAAGCACAGTCTACAGATCCTGAATATCTATAGCATCTCTTTAGCAGGAGTTCTGAAGAAGCCTGTTTGTGCACTCTGCTGAAGGACAGCCAATGAATAATAGGAGTTTCACAACACAGAATGCCTGTCCCTTCCTCATTCCATTTTCCAAACAGCTGTGCTGTTATTTGGGGCCTATAGCTAGTATTGTAAAAAAAAAATAAAATATGTAAATTATAGATTTTTCTTCATTAAAATATTCTTCAGAAATACAAAGCTCTTTCAAAGCCTTCTTAGAAGTTCTCCTTGTATACAGAAGGCTTCTGGGAGGCCGCCAGAAATGAAGAATTATAGAACTGGGCACGTTTTCCACAAATGCCTTTTATCAGCTGAGGCTACAGTCCTGACTCTTTTATTATCTGCAGAAGGCATAGTAGCCATCCTAGTTAGCACACATCTGGGTCACAGGCAAAGATCAGCATGGCTGACAAGTCCTGCAACTTATGGGGTGGGGTTGCTTGTTAGGCACAAAGAGGCAGTGTCCCGTGAATGAGTGTGGGGTCTTGGCAAGAGCATGGCATGCAGTGGGTATATTCTATAATACTGATTTTGCAGTAGGTTGGCATTTTACAGAGAAAAGGAAAAAGAGACAGTAGAAGTGTGAAACCATCGGATCACATGCATTCTTAGATATGAAAAGGGCTTGTGCTTCTCTCAGGTTAGCAACAGGATACACAGTTCTAGGGCTGATATAAAGACATTTTTATTTATTTATTTAGCCACTTGCAAAAGACGCTGGATTGTCAGCTCCAGAGGCTAAAGTCCTTGATTTATTTACTGAAAGGTGCTGCATGGACAAATGCAGCACGAGTTTCCCTCTATCACTCTGCCAGTATGGCTCAGCCCTGATCTAGTTTCCATATTCATTCAATACTTGCTCAAATAGTTATCTAGGGAGTAAACAGTGCCAGTCACAGCAGTGGTTTCTGAGATATGGAGTCCAGCCCAGTCAGAGTTTGCCAAGATAATAACCTCATTGCATGACATGCCAAAGAGCCACAAACAGCTGTAGTACTGAAGGGCTATGATATTTAAATAAGATACTGAAATATAAAAGGTAAAATACTGAAAATGCAAAGTAATCATCATCATGTTAGAATACAGCCAAATATGGGATTTAGGAATTAAAGACTTCCTTCCATATTTTTATAGTGTAATATTTAACATATTTATGTTACTAAAACATCTAGATTCAATGGACAGGCGAAAGAGCTTCATTGGGGCATATTTTTTGCTGTGATAAATTCTGGTAGGAAGCAAGGACAGTATGGAGCCTGAAGATACACAGAGGATGTATATGAATCCATTTCAGTCCTAGGTGTGTGTGCATGTGTCATAAGTGTGTCACTTGCTAAGTGTCAAAATAAGGTCAGTGCAGATGAATAAGTATATGTGAAAAGGCCAGGAAGGAAATGCATGTCAAATCAAGCTAAAAACAGGTGGCTGAATGAATGAGAAGAAAACCTGCAGTGTGTGAGAAGGAAAGGAGCCTTGCACAAGAAGTTAAAATATTTTCTGAACTTGACTGAAAATATTTTAAATACATGTAAAGGAAATTCAAATTTCAGGCCTGCCTGCCTCCCTTCCTTCCCTCCCTCCCTTTTTGTCTTCCTCTCTCCCTCCCTTCCTCCATTTCCCCTCCTTTCTCCCTTCCCTCCTTTCTCTCTCCTCTCTTATCTCTCTTTCCTCCACTTTCTCCTTCATTCCATTTGTGGCATCTCAGGTCCAAAAGGAAGCAACAGATTCTAGCAACTGTATTTGATAGACTCCTACCCATTATCACAAGGCCTGCTGTATAGTCATTAGCAAGCAGTTGTGCTGCCAGCTGCATTTGGCAATACTGTTGACTGAACTTATTTCAATTGGCATTATTTTTATAGAGATGCAGACCTTATATTTATGCCTAAAAAAATGTCAGCAACTCATTTTAGCATATTTTGAGATAGGGCAATAGCCCACCCCTTGTTTTGCTGTTCACTGTACAAATGCAGAGTGTAAACCAGTATGTTCCTGCTGAGTTTAGAGAGAGCAGCAGATTCCTCTGCAGGTGGTAGAGAGAAATAGCACAGAGTGAACCTTCTGCTCATTTGATGTATCTATTTTAAGTTGTTTAAAATTGTCTTCTGGAGAAGGCTGCTTCTTTCCTTCACCTGTGGCAGATGAAAAGATGCCAACCTTCATATACATCTGAGTTTTAGACCTCAAATAAGGAGATAATGATGTTATCCTGTGTAATTTATTCAACAGCACAGGTTATCTGGGTCAGCATTGAGGAGCATGTTGCAGTGAGACTCAGGCATGGCTGTGTCGGCCAGCAGTCAGGGCTGGCATTGACATTACTGGGAAGGACATGTTATAGAGCAGTTTGGAAAATGTCTGTTTTTCTTAGCAATGGAAATCTGAAAATTTACAGTGACAACTCAAATACCAGAAGTTCTTGTTTCCAACAAATATTTACATTTTGTGGCATTCAACTTACTCAAATTTGACCTTTCCCTCAGAAAGCACACAGTGCAAAATGCAAAAATAAAGGAACCAAGAGCTTGCTTAGAAACACAATTTTCCATTAAAAGCAGTTTTAATGACATATATTCCATCAGCCTTAGTTGCTTTTGACAGTCAGTAAGTGATTCAGCTGCCCAAACATAGGATTCATAGTCTATTTTAGAAACACTTTCAGGCATCCAGGACACCTGCATGAAGCTGGGGATGTGACAGCCACCTGTGAGACCCTTACCTTCCAGAGGCTGCAGCTGAGGCTGGGGAGGGATGCCCTGGGGCATCTAGAATAGCATTGCGCACTCTCGGCTAGGCAATTAGTCTCTGAATCTCTACAATTTCAGACAAGAGAACATCCCATCTGATGTTATTAATGGGCTGTCACTGCCCGATAAAGGAGGAAGGTCAGCAGCATAGTGCTCTTGAGTCTCACTGTATATTCATGCCACTCTTTTGGCCCCTCCTGGCTGTTTTACATCAGAGTAGCCAAAAATTCATGTGATAGCAGTGTCATGCTGTAACCTCCAGCAAGTGCTGAGCCCTGGGTAGGTGGCTCACCCACCACCTGCAATGTCAAGAGGCCTAGAGCAAGAGGCAGGTTGCAAATCCAGGTACTCACAACAAGAACCTGTGAAGTTCCCAAGTTCCTGGGAACCCTCCTAGCACATGGCATGCAGCCCCAGCAAGCTTGGTGAGAAAGAAGCCTGGTGTTTGGCAACCTGAATGTGCAAGGAACACAGGGATAAATGAGTGATAGCTAGCAACCAACTCCACCTAAGTCTCCCTGAAGCTATAAAAAGACAAGAAGGATTAATAATTGTCTTGAGTCAGCTTGTTTGGATTTGGGTTTGGTGGGTTTTTTTCAGTCTCAGTATGACGAGCAGCAGTAGAGAGCCATGTGCTGGAAAAGGAGAGAAGACAGAAGATTGTAATATAAAATACTGTTAATAGAATTTTTATTGTTCAGTTATCAGGTCCCAGAAATGGAAACCCTTTTCCTCCTTCATAATTATGTTACAGTTTTGGCTGTAATCTTTGTGATTATATATAAAAATATATAAATAATATTCTCTCCTATAGTGACCTACCAGATAGTGTCAGCAGAGTCCTGGATTTCTGGGGTACTGTCTCAACTTGTCCTTTTCTGATGAAAGCAGGGATTTAGCCATGTTGTGTAAAATTCAGTGTTACAACCAGAACATGGGATATGAGCCTTCTGAACTTACATTTTAATACGACAACAAATGGATCTGTTGACAGAATTAGTTATCTCCTACATGTTTTTTTTTTCAGGTTTAATGAGGAAGGTTTAAGAAGTTCAATGAGGAACATTTTTTTAATTCTTGTCTCTTTTAGAGTATTATTACACACGAGCTGAACCAAAGTACAGAGGACTTTACATGTACTGAAAAATATGTACCCAGCTGCATTGCTGTTGTGGATCACTGAACTATGACCAGCCTAAACTATCTCCTGGATTTTTTCTTGTCCCTTTACTCCCAGGCTACACATTTTGGACCCATATTTCCGCTGGCATTGTAAATCTACCCTAGTGAAGAATTTGGCCTTTACCACTGCAGAGAAACAAATAAAATCTCAGTATTGGTTTGTGTTTGGGTTGTTGCTAGTGGGGTTTTGTAGGTTTGGGTGTTTTTTAACTCTCTCTTCTTTTTGCTCCAGTGGTTCATTTATGAAAAAAGATTATGAGATTCAGGCTTCTGATGGTATTTCCATTACCCAGGAATTGAAGTACTCTGAGCAGGCTAAGACTTGCATAAAGATAAACACATGTACCCAAAGTGAACACAAATGCTTTAAATACAGAAAAACATTATAACTTGTGTCCTGTGCTACTTACCCAGCAGACCTTCTGCTGTGGATTTATGGCTGTTGTCACAGTACTTCTCTGGTTTTTCTCAGAAGAAAGCTTTTTCATAACTAAATTAATTACATTCAGAGAGAGTGTTAAAGTAAAAATACTGTCCATACGAATACACATGTATATACCTGCATATACCTGTAATTAGCAGTCCAGCAGATTAGATCATCTGATGATAATTATTTTGTTTTGAGTCTGGATCTTCAGGGTAGATACTGGACTCCAAATACCGTAATTAGTTTCTGAAAGGACACCAGTTTTTGAGCAGTTCACTGTCATTTTCTCGAATGTGCTTACTGAGAGTCAAATGAAGATCTTGCATTCCAAATAAATTCAAAACCATGTGTCAGGTGCCAAATATATTAAAAAAAATAAGGGGTTTTCATGCACCAGTCTTTGAGAGTAATCTGCTTATACAGTTTCTTGACTCCTATAAGCTCAATATTTTCCAACACTTGTGATGCAGCAGAATAAAGATCATGTTTTAGTCTAGTTATGAAATTTTAGCTATGTGTTATTAGAGACTTTAGAAGTAGTTTGACATGTTTGTAACCAGAACATGGGCCAAAATGAGTAATGTTTTGTCATCAGTGAATTTCTGCTGCTTCAGAAAAAGTGAACTTACCTTCATAACCAGCAGTGATCTCACATCTTACATCTTCAGAGGAAACTTGGTCTCATTGCTAGAAAAGCAATGCATTTTCTGTTTGCTCTATAAGCAGAATTTCAGTTGCCCTGGCTTTCTCTTTTGCTGCATAATAAATAAGGAGTTTTATTTTTCCTATTCATAAATAAGAAATCTCATTTGGTGTAGAGACTCTTCAAATGCTTTACTAACACTTCATTGTCTGCCTCAGTAACAAATATGCTGTCTATCCAGAAACACTGTGGCTTCCATTAGACCATTCTATTCATTTGATTCAAGTGGACAATAAAACATGCTGAATGACAGCGTGTCACTGATGACTATAGAGCTTTAAAGAAAACCCATTCTGACTCCTGCCTTTTCATCAGTTTTCCTGTATCTGAGTGTACCTCCCTCACTGTATTTTAATGGAGGCATGGCCTTGTTGATATATTTCTGTTAATTTTTAGTGATTAGCCCAGTGTAAAGCCTTGGTGGATAAAACTGATTACATGATTTTTTCCAAAGGGGAAAGTGAGTACCAAGATGTCAAAGATTAGTAAGCACCCTGCTGTTGGGAAATGTTGGTTAATTTTATTTTTGGTAAATTATTCTGCAGTGCTTGAAAAACATTGGAAAACTGGGTGAGGACCTTTAACAAAAGTATGCATATACCCATTTGCTCTGGGCATGGGTGGAAGAGGTGGCTGAGAATCAGTACAAAAAATGGCTCGTGACTCATTAGGGGTATGAATTGGTAGAATATCTGGTATGGTAACAAAAGACATTTATTTCACTCAGGTTGGAGTTTACCCTGTTGCAGAAGCCTGGTACAAAGTCAGCACTATGTATATTGGGATCGGCTTACACTGTTCGCAGGTCTCATGTGCTACTCAGGGATGAGGTGTTTGCATTTACAGTTACAGTTATAGTAACCTTTTTTTTTAAAGTGCTCCTAGTCAGGCAGAAGTGTCTATGACTGTGATTCTTCTCGCTAATAACTAGATGTGACACTTCAGCAACTTCTGCCTGACATGCTTCTGGTTTTCTGGAGCCCATCAGAAGTCCCTTATCCTAAGGTATCAACTGGACCTTCGGCTATTCGATATCAATATATGATTTTCAAGGTAACCCAGGAAATACTTATTTCTTTCTGAAACGCAAGTAGGTGTCTGGGATTTTTTTTTTTTTTTTCCCATTTGTTAGATTTTTCTTCTATGGGGAAAGAACATTCTTCCTGTTTTTGAATACTTATATTTTGTTGCTTAATTAGGCAGTGTCTAGAGGCCGTAGCTTGGATGCAATGACCTTCTTTCAAGAACTGGTATTTGAGAACTTGGTCACAAGCAATCAGCTATGAGGGTATCCATGAGTGTGTTTAAGATGGAAGACCTAATACAGCATTATTACAGAAACAGTGCTTCAGCAAGCACACAGTAAGTGATGTCCTACCTTGTGTGCAGCCATGCAAACCCCAGCCTTTACCCTGTGGTGGTAAGATCTATGGAACAGCAACTGCTTTGGGAAAGGCAGCATCTTTTCATTACATTTGTAGCATAATTGTGACATCTAGAAGCCACTGCTACATTTCTAGGACCAGACTGTGAATCTATGTGGTAATAAACCTTTCCTTACCCAAATGACCTCTATGAAACAGGTGCTTTCAATATGGACCACAATAAACAATAATGACAGGAATAATAATAACAATGCATTTCTGTGGCTGCATTCCTTTTCTATTTGATGATAGAGATTCAGTTACTATGAGATGGATACGGTATAAAATGTGGATGTATTTGGAAGTAGCAATAATGGCAGCACACGTGAGGTAACTAAATGATCTTGGAAAGTAATGATACTGTATGCCCAGGGTATTAGATCTCTCCACCTCTTTAAATTATATACTATTTACAACACCTCTTGACTGAGTAGGGATTTATTTACATAGCTTCATCTCTAACTAAGTGTTAAATATGACGTCATGCAGTACTGTTCCATCTCTGGGTGAAGGTACAAGTAGAAAGACATACAGAACTTTCTGCTGTGACATTCTCATCTACAGATACATATGCATTGATAAATAACCTTTTGTAATACCCACAGTTTTCTGTCGTTCTAATTTTTATTGTGCCTGCTGCCTGCAACATGGTAAGACTTATTCATAAATTCACACTCCAGTGGTTTGATAAATATATAACAGTCTTTAAAGGAGTTTCTTGGTGGAGCGTATGTTATTCATCAGGTCGCAGTTTTCCTTGGTTTTGGTCCTAAGGTTTATTGGTTTTTGGTCGTGGGTTTTGTTTGGGTTTTTTTTTTATTTGACATTTTTGGCTAACTTCTCTGATCCTCTTCAACCCAATAGCCACAAGGAAAAATAGCACTTGGGACAACTAAAACTAAATATGGCATGATGAAAAATATGTTTATGTACCTTTATTATATTATCTCTTATTCTCTGACAAATAGGAGGTGAGAATATTGTAAAGTGATATTCTATAGCAGGCACAGTGCTTATCAGTTATTTTCCTTTGACCTTCTGCCTTAGAAAATTAATTCACTTGAGCTGTTCATGCACTAGAACATTAGGAAAAAAATAATGTTAGCACTAGTGAATATAATCTCTGCAGGAAAGCTGGGCAATTATTCAATGGTCTAATCTTATCTCTTGTTTCATTTTTATATGGCAAGTCTACATTTAAAGTATTAGATATACTGTGCTTCTGCTCAGTACCATCAAACCATAGTAAATAAATGCCGCTAAGTGCCACCATGAGTGAAGGAGCTTATAATGAGAAGTGTGAGTAGACATGTGCGCCATTCATCATTCTGTTCAGTCCGATATTGGGGCTCTTTTTATCAGCACTATTCGTAGCGGTGTCATCACCTCTGGTATAAATCTTCTGTCAATGTCTGTCGGCCCTGTGCCCTATTAAACTCATGCTCTCACATAATCACTGAATGACCTTTGGATGTCTTTCATTAACCTCTGACCTGAACCCCGCTGGCTTCTTGTTGGTAGGTAAATCTATAACATGACATTTGCTTATGACTCAACCTTTATCCTTGCTTAATAGTTGTGCCTTTCAGTTTTTTTGTTCTGGAGTAAAAAGATAGTTGCAATCTTAAGCCACAGCTTGGATTTCAAAGGTTGGAACACAATATTCACTTAAGTGTCTCTTAATAGACTTTCTAATATTTTCCACTGCTGCTTGCTGAATCTTATCAATTGTAAACTGATGCAGGATGTTAGACTCACAAATAATATTTTTGTTTCTGACGGAAGTTTTATTTTCTCTCAGATTTTTTCTTCTTGCTGTGTTCCCCTAATCAGGGACTGGTTAATTCAAATGCAGTTATGAAACTGTGCCTAAAATTTTTGGTGCTGGAGATGAGGGTAGCTATCTCACAGTAATAATAATAAAAATAATGCAAGATTTTGTTCTCATGAGGATCAAGTGGGCTTGAAAGTAGCTAGTCCGGTGCTCCATGCTGTTGATGTCTTACTGCAAAACCTTGGTGAATTGCTTGCTTTTTCTATGATTCCTGTACCTCACTTGTAAAATGGGCCATGGTAAAACTATACTCTGCAGAATAAAACATGAAAAATGGCTTCTATTTACTTCTTGTGTTCTTGGGAACCAGGCTGATGCTCTTATTAACCCTGCTCAGCTAAGTGTGTGTACAGAGTTGAAAGCATAGTGAATTATATTTCTCCTCTTTCAGCCCTACCTCCCCCCTGTGAATGTACCTAATTACCATTAACTGTAATTAGTAGCAATTAACTAACATTCTTAGCAGTTGTATTCCTGAAAACCCATTGATGAAAGGGGCTAACAGCAGCAAACAGGAAAGTAAGTAGTTAGGATTTATGTGGGCATCAGAAGTGGGGGGTTCATGGAAAATTGCAGGTCTGGGTGGTGCTTCCTTGTTGAGGGATTGGAGGAATGGGCTCAGTCTCTACAAGGAGGTGAGAGAAAATGGGTATGGCAGTGGACGAAATTGGGGAGCATTAAATGCATGCATTGACTGTGATGGAGTTTGTGAGGAGAGAATGGGGCAGATAGGTTTGATGGGGGGTCTATCTGCAAGGTGCGGTGGTTCTCATTCAGTGTTTTGAGTGACCACAGAAATGAGCACGGGGCTTCCTACAGGAAAATTAATGTACAAATCTGACTAAAAGTACATGGCATGGCTTTTGCATTTTCTACTATGCTGTAAACCATTCTGAAGCAATGTTAAAATAAGAAAAGACTGGATGACGTTATCTTCTCAACTTTATAGATACCTTTAATAAGGGTATTTTAGCAGACTTGTGTTCTTATAAAAATTTCAACTAACTTATATAATGGGTACAGTGTTTCCTGAGCCATATAATGCACACACACTTGTTATATCCATGTCTTGATGATTTTGCTATGTAGAAAGCTGAGGCATAATGCCAGCAGTTAGTTCCTGAGTTTTTCTCTCTCAGTTTCTTTTTAGTGTCTTTAGGAATGGCAAGTAGGTTATAATTCTGTTTCCTGTTCCAGCATGAGGCTGTCTCCTCACAGCTGGAGGGCCCATCTCTCCTCAGCTTGTGATCAAGCACCATTGAAATGAGGAAAACTTCAGGGATTTGGGAATGGACAGATTGTCTCTTCTTTAAATGGCAGTTTGTCTCTTCTTTAACTTACTGTGGTTTGATATAGCATTCTTCCCTGGTTTTGTCAGTGTTGCCCTCATTTCTCCTTTTTCTCTTTTCATTTTTTTTTATGCTTGGGTATGTCTAATTTGCTATCAAGGGCAAAATCCCCTATTGTTGACATTTTGCACTTCATAAAGTACTTGGAACAAGTTACATGGTTAGCAAAGGAAACTGCAACAAGCCCAATAAGCCCCAGAGATCAATAGATCCCCATCCCTGGTGCTGGCTGACTTCCATAACTCTTCTACCTCTCTAGAAAGAAAGGTTGTTCTAGGCATCAGCCATCTCCAGTAGAAGGTGACACCATCACATGTGCTCAAGATTGGTGTCCTGTGAATGACTTGAACATCTTCTGAAACAACAGCTTCCTTGTGGTGTCTGAACTCTGGATATGGGGTTATCAAGGGATGTGGCTGCGGCCCTTTCGTGGGGAGCAGAGATGACAGTGTTGGTGTCTGCTTCAGTTTGTAGAACCATCCTCCTCATTTTCAGGACACCACAGAGAAATTTTCATGTCATGTGGATGTGGAACAGCTGAGAACTCATTTCCTGACCCCAGGCTTGTTACATAGATGGTATTATCAAATGTAATACAACTTATGTGTGCATAGTTTGATAACACGATGCTTTTCATTTAACATTTTTTTATCTTAAAATGAGAAAGGATAATGATAGGGTAAGAAAAGATTTCTATTCACATGTGATAACCCATACTTCTTAGCTCATTTGTAAGCACCTAGACCTTCCCAATTTAACATACAGTTGTTTTGGAGCTCACAGACAGTGCATGGGATGAGCATTGTGATGGGATTGGTGGTAAGTTAAACTAAGAGCTGGTTAGATGCCAGTTCCAAGAAAGAGCGTACAAATGTAAGACACTGGAGTACTCTGGAGTTCTGGCTATGGATCATAACAATATTGTGCAGGGCACACTAAAGCTCTTTCCATCACCACTGGAGAGTGAGATGAATAAAGTCACAAAAATGTGGAAATAGAATGGGAAAATGAGGGATACTATCTCTGCTTTTTATTTGTATTTACAAATACACTTGGAAAAGGTTGTCAGGGCAGAATTTGGCAAAATGGAGTTGAGAACCTCTGGAAAAAAACGTGGATTTTGAGGAGAAACATACAGAGCAAGAACCCTACCCCTGAGACAGCTCAGTCCCACAGACCTGAGTGGGCTTTTGATCTGGCTATGGCAAAGCAGAAGATTGTCAACTGATGATAACACCTGAGAAGACTTGGGATGACAGCAGCAAAGAAACACAAATGTGGTTAATTGTGTGACCCACAGGAGTGCTGAAAGACAGTAATGGGTATAAAGAGGCCATATTTCCACAAATGATCATTAGTCTTCTGTAAATGTTCCTTGAAATGTAAAGGAATGATTTTCTCTCTCCAATTAATCATCCTAGAAATCCTCCTTCGTGTAATCTTGAAAACACGGGAGAGGACTTAGTATCAGTAAATGTTGCCAGATGTATAAAATGGCAGAGTAATGTGTTGTATAAAATGATTTTGGGTGGCAGAAACTGGATAGGAAGCCAAAAATACTGCACCAATATTTGAGCTTTTCTGTGAGAGGCGTTGCCAGCCTCAGGAGGGAGCACCGGATAATTTATAGGTTAACATTTTCTTTTTATGTGAATAGCATTTTTTCTCATTTATAGTTAATTAGGTTAAGCATGCATGGGGAGCGAGGGAGGAAAGACTTTCTGAGAGAATCTAAACGATTAGTAATTTGAATGAAGTGAAAGAATCTGCTAAAAGATGTAGCTCTGGAATTAAATATGTTGCTATAACAAGTGTAAGTATCAGATAGGAATTTTAAAGGTTCTTACATTAATTATAGCAGCAGCACAAAAGGATGTAGAGCGTATTTACAGATTTGGCACGTGGATTCTTTACACAAGTAGCTGCTGTTTCATTTTACTAGAGGGGAAGAAACTATTGGTCCCATCATTTTCACAGTTTTATATCTTTTGCGTACACTTCTTGTCTCAGCGGTTCTGGCTCACATGCAGGATCGGTTAAGGTGAACTACAAAGTAAAGTGAAGACTTAACTACTGAGTTTCTTCAAATCTTTTTTTCCTGTATAAAGTCCTCTTGACGCTTCCTGGTTGTCTGAACATTTTTTTGGCAGATTCTTTGTGTCCATCTCCACACAGGGAGTGGAACTGTTTCACTAAGATCCATCTAAAAATGTGGCACCATACCTAGACTGGGAGACTTTTATACAAACGCTCAGAGTGGTTCAAGGCATTAAAGTCACCTCAGCTGCAGTTACTGGTATACAGACTTGTCAAGTCCCGTATGGTGCTGGTGATGATCACAGAGTGTGCTGTCATCTCCCACCACAGTACATCTCTCCTTCACATCACTGCACCATCTCCACTCCTATCCTGATGCCCCGTTTGCCTGACACAACCAACTGGTTTCCCCCACATGACTGGTTCTTCACTCCCTTTGCTCTGTTGGGTGATCCAGTGCATGGCTCTTGTGGCCAGAGCTGTAGTGTTCCAGGATATCTGTGATGAGCAAGACAGAATTTTACAAGAAGAAAGACATTTATGAAGAATTAGTTAAAACGTATTTCCAGTTGGAATGGCTTCCACTGGGTAATTTTTGAAAATGCTCAGAACAGTTTTAACTGATTTCCAGTACCCTTTGCAGAGTACCCTTAGTTGTTGGGTGGAGTTTTTAAATGTAAGCATGTAGATTTAAATTTAAGCACTTTTATCTGAGGGATCTGATTCACAAGATCTCCCAGCTGATGAGCATGCAGTGTTTCTGAAACTGAGGCAGGACTTTGAGTTAGATACTAAATATAGATTTAATGGTTTGCCCCCCGACGCACAGATAATTCAAGAAGTGAGTGATTTATGATTTCAAGAAATGATTGATTATATATACAGGAAAACGCTGCCATTTTTATTGCACATGAACAAGTTACACATGGAGAGTTGTTCAAAGTAGTTTAATGTTTGTGCTGTGTCCATATAAGCCAGTTTCTTTTTCTAGACGGAGATCTTTAAAATAGCCTAAAGAAACTGAACGTCGAGCCCCAGTGAAAGTTTTCACTGGGAGCAATAAGCATCTACTTCCCTTATGTCTTCTAGAAAATTCCAGTGTTTACTGTCTTCCCCTCAGCTGTAATTCAAGCCCAAATGCTGCACCAGTTGTGCCACAGCAGCAGTCTGCAGCCCCCACTAGTAAGTGTCACAAAGGAAGATGCATGCTGGGTTGTTCAGATTTATACTGCCTGAACACTTTTCTGGGTTTGAAAAGAAGAAAATAGAGTATGCGGAGGTTGTACATGGCTGCTTCATATGTGGGATGTGGTCAAGGGATGCCCACCTCTGGCCAGAGGTAGAACAAAGCTCAGTGGAGCACAAAGCCCAGACCAGGTGATCCAGATCTGGAGAAGGACAGGAACAAATGAGCACAGCCCTGAACTGTACTGCCTTGCACTATGATATGCTGCACTGGCACAACATTTTAGAAGCAATTTTGAGTTCTTTCAACACGACACATGTGGTGCAATGAGTTTTAATGCCTTGCCTTAGGTCACAGAGAGGAGTACTAGACATAGAAAGAGAGGTGCCTGACTCAGAGCCCAGTCACCTCCTGAACCACAGGCCTACTGTTACAGGCCAAAGGGAATCCTTTCACACATGCAAGGAGAAACGTCAGAGAAAACAACAGTTCATCTAAGCTCATAGTGAGGTTTGATAAACAGGTTTTGGTTGAGCAGCCAAACCTGAGGACCAGACCCTGGAATTTTTGAGTCTGGTTCCTGGCTAACTACCTTTGTGCCTCTGGTGACTCCTGGCAAGTCCTTTATTTCCCCACCAGCCTCCAAAGCCAGGGCAGAAATGACTGAAGGAGTGACTGTGAGAATTAGCTAATTAATATTATGCAAAACCTCTGCCAAGAGAGCTGCTCTTCCCTCAGTGGAAGAGACTGTGATGTGTGATTTGTCCAGATGTTATAGACTGCTCATGCAGGGTAAGATTTAATGGCACAAGGGCTCATCTGTTGCTGCCATGATCACTGGAAGGTGTTTTGATCCACTCTCTAGCATGTGTACTTGCCCCAGCAGCCCCATATGCAACAAGAGGCATTTTGGGAATCATCTGGCTCTCACAGAGCAGCTCAAAGAAGGAGCTATGTGGAGCTGTGCTGAAGCAGCAAGGGAGACAATTGCTGCCTATAGAGCAGCACCAGATCTGAAAGGGCAGCATGAGCTCTGCCATACCTAATTGCTGCACCTCTGAAGCATGTCCACAGCTCCCCATAAAGTGATTCTATCATGGATAGAAAATTGAAAAGGCTTGTCTTTCTGCCCATGTGTTGGTTCCCACACACAGCAGAAAGGACCACAGCAGAAGGATCCAGTTGAGGAACAACAAGACTATTAATTTCCTAATATCCCTTCTGCTTACAGAGTCAGGCCAGTTCACAGGGATAAAAGCTCTGGGGTGAGGTGAGTGGGCTGTGTGCGGCAGCATCAAGTATCTTCTCTGTCTGAGAGAAGGAAGGGAAGCAGACACAATATTTTGTCACTGGTAAAAACTGCGATACCCAGTGAGAGGGAATAAGAAAGGATAAGAAGGTCTGATGTGCATTTCTTCCTTTCAAGACCTGGACCACAGCACTGACAGGTGAAACACTTCTTGGACCAGTTGGTTTTCCCATCTTTGGGACAGGCTCCTTCCATTGCATCTGGGGCTGTGTCTCTTCTCCATTCCTAAACTTGACCGTCAGGGCAGTGGTAGGTGCTGGGTATGCAGATGTACTGCCTGGAGAACTGAATAGCGCTGTACAGCTTTTGCCATTTCCTCAGGGTATGAATCCTGGAGGCTGTGTCAGTGGATGTTCCACAGCTTGGCTCATAGTAACATTCCCTTGAGGAATAATGATTTCACTGGAAAAAGTTGCCCGTATGTTAAAAGTGTAAAAAGGACAGCATTTTTCATGCAAACACTTGAGGTCAATATAGATAATGAGCTATATGGTGCTAGTTTCCTTCTTCCTCAAGTGGGAGGCAAAGAAGGATAACTGGACTTTGTAGTGAACGGATGGTTGTGGCAAGCCAGTGCTATTCAGTCATTTGCCAGCAGCTTGCAAACATTGGGAGTAAAGGTTCGTTACATCGCTAATTTTTTTTCTTCCTTTGGGCAGGTGGCCTAACAGCCCAACAGCTGATCCTGTTTTTTAAAATTAATTTTAATTGAATGCACTGCTAGAGATGCCATAAATTGACTCTTTTTGTTTGAATTTCCTAAGGGACTTTGCCCCAAGATCTCTATCCCGGTGATAACTTATTCTGGCCAATGGAGCCAGAGTGCATTTATTGTGCATCTCTCTGCCCCTTCTCTGCCTTCTGCTACCATGAATGCTGCAGTTGCTGATGACTAGAAAACTACTCAAGTGTGAACTGTTTCACTGCCTGTCACTTTCCTCATTAGGCTAGTGAGAAAATGTATCTAGGACTCTGTCACACACAGCCCTCATTAAGTTAGCAGCACATTGAGATCATTGCCTTTTTTAAAGATGGCTGCAGGAAAATGACTGGGTATTTGATGTTCCTCAGTAATAAGTGGAAGTAGCAAAAGTAGGGCTCACTGCACTTTCCTCTGAAATAATTGCATTGTTTGCAGAACCTGATCAATGGAATAGAGTGTTATTGCTGGGGAAGTCAGATGGCAGTACATAACCCCACTTCTTACTCAAGTGGAGGGGGCAACAGATGCTTGAGGTAAGATTAATTCATTGTTCAAAAGAGATCTAGGGCAAGAACGCTACCTATTCTTGGCATCTGATTCTCTTTGGGCCTGTTAAACCAGAGGAATTCTATTAAGGGTGGTATATTTTCTTTCTTGTGTCAGTATGAACAATATTTGGTCCATCAACTATAGCTTTAAGTGATAGCAATGAGGGCTACCATGTGTTCCTAATTCCTACCTCAAGCAGCTAGCCAAAGTAGCGCTAGTCAATATAGACCACTTTAGCCTTTCCCAGAAGGCTGGATTTAGACACTACCACTGCCAAATGTCCATGCTAAGTTTCTGATAAAGAAGATGTGATAAATGACTGCATGCCTTCTCTCTAACTAGAGGTACATTCTTTTCAGTTCACTTCGTTTCCTAAGCAAAGAGTACCATTGCCTTACACATTGGCATTTCCCTTGAAATTGGTCCATTAACTCCTATATGCTCTAGAAAGACAGGTAGCTATTTTCATGCCTGGATTTCTTTATTTGAAGAAAGAAGGAAAGAAAAAAAAAAGAAAAAGCCGGAAAAAAAAATCAATAGTAGCTTCTGTTGAGCTGCAATGTACTCCAACCACCAGAGCAGAGCAGCTACATAATCCTACTTGCAGCAGGGCCACAGTGTTGAATGGGACTATTGTACTGGTGGGAACTGCTACTTGCTGTGCTGGAAAGGGTGTTTCTGAAAACTGCAGTACAGCCTAATCTGCTGTGGCTGTTACATGATTGCTTTGGTGCAGCCCACTGGTGCACCACTTCAGTGCAGACACAGTCTAGCTCACCTGCTTGTGAGATACTGTTAGCATTGGTAGGTGAAGGTTTGCATGCAGTACATATAAAATTGCTCAGAAATGTAATTTTACATGAGAAACTTCTTTTATACTTCCATTATAATGTATTTATACTGATGATTGCTTCTGTCTCATGATCCCAAAGACCTGAAATGCATTTTACATGTAAACTTTTGTATCCACTGAATATTGATAGAAATGTGTAAGGCAGTATCTGGTTGCCACATAAGACCTGCAGTGCTGATGATCCATCTCTGTTCTGCCACATAAATGTTCATTTGTCAGCACTGGCAGAGAGGATAAGTGATGTATTGTAGTTGATTAGGTTGATAGCAGATATGTAATCCCTAAGGATAATGATGGAAAAAAAACTTAGGACTTTTTTGCTTATTTAAAGTTGATATCCAGCTCCAAGTTTAATTGGATATTAAGTATTTGACTCATTCTGCATCTATTCTCAATTCCATATACATGTGATTCTTCTCATTATCTGCATTTACAAATTCAAAGGCAATTAGCCCTGAAATAACTCGGAATGTAGAGAAAGAAATGTTTGAATTTTTATTTCACATAAGGTTCATATTTTCTTTTTCATTTAAGTAGGACTTTAATTTCTTTTGAAGAACTGAAGACAAATGTTAAATAAAAAAAAAATAAAAAAGTCCCTCATGGGACTGGAGGCTGAAAAGGGCCATTATCATGAAGTTAGAATATTTACTTCCCAAGCTAGTGATTCAAATATGTTTTGAGAGTCTGCATCTATACTGGCAGATAGAAAGCAGCCCCTGATCTGTCATCCACGTGCTGAGACGACCAGTGCTGGGGTGGCTGGGCTCTGGTATTTCAGTTCTTTTTCTCCCAGTACCTGAACTTTAAGCTGTGTGCAACGCTGAGCATTTCTAGAGTGTAGTCTGGTCTCTCTGCTCGATGCCAGTCTGCAGTGTCCCTACAAAGCACTGACAAACTTGCAGCACACCATCTGTTGTGTTCAGTCCATCTCTGTGGTGGGCTGCCATTCAACTGGCTGTATAGTCAGTAGCGGTTGCTGAAATTTTCATCCAGGCCAGTCTTTCAAGCTGCCTACACAGGAACACTTGTGGGTATGTTAGGGAGCATGTAAGCTCAAGAAAGGGCTCAAATTCACATTTAAAACATAATCCTGGTGTAGCCTATGTGAAATAAGCCATTCCAGTTTCAAAGGAATAGGTGTCCTCAATGCTAAGAAGTAGCATACTGAGAAGGGGTTGGCTCTCTTAAAATCCAGTCACCAAGCAGCCATCAGGTAGAAGGCAATTTCTTGGATTCTGATTCTCTGTGTCAAAATTGTGTTCCTTTATATCAGAATCATACCACTTTGGTCAGTAGGAAAGCCTGAATTGTGCCTGCAGTGGCTGGTTAGCTGGAAGGTAGCTCAGGGAGCCTTTCTCCGTCTCTCCTTGCCATCAGAATATTCACTGAATACAGGCTGTACGCCTCTACAGCCAAAACCATGCAGTATTTCACACGGCTTGTCCTAGCTTAGCAGTGCGAATAACAGGTTCACACTCTGTGTTAACTTCATAATTGCCTTCAGTTTTATATTAGCAATTAGGTTTCCTTTTCACACATAACTTGTCTTCAGACACAGCAACTTTTCAGGAAAATTATTAATTTACAGTAATATTACTTTGTTCATCCAGCTTGTTGGTTGTGCCTTATTAATGCCTAGGTACAAAACTGGGTTTTTCATTCCGACAGGGATTCTTGGAGTTTTAGTGAGCAATTAGTTTTAAAAAAGCTGTCATGGGGAGACAGAATTAATACTTAAAAACCCAAACCCAAACTTTTAAATCTTCAACATATCTGTAATTTTGCATAATTTTTAATTCATTAAAAGATACGTTATTAAATAACAATCTTACCTAAAATGCATATCAGCTATTAAAATGAAAGACTAGTAGCTTTTTCTTAAATGTTTTACAAGTTCATTAAAAAAAAATCATTTAAAGTAAAAAGATAATATTTCAAGAGATCAAAGAGCGTTCTGCTTAGCAGATGATGCTTCTAGAGTTGTTGGAGTTCATTTGTGTTGGATGGCTTGGGTTTGCTTTTTTTTTTGGTAGAACATTTTCATAAAGAAATTTCCCAGAGCATAATTATCACAGGAGTTTCCATTTGGACTTCCAAAGAACTGTTGGCAACATCAGTTTCTTCTTTTTTAGAGCTGGTGGGAGCTGTAACTACATTACTGGGTTTCTTAAAATCTAGAAACTATGCAATACTTCTGCAGTAGGAAAAAATAAAGAAGTAACAGCAGTCCATGAAGGCATTATGTGTAACATGGCCTGAGCCAGTATGTCACTAATAAGTCTATAACCTGCTTTATAGAACCATATCTTAACCAAGCTAAGGGCTTAATTATTATTGATTAGTTCTGCCCACTGTTCCAATATCAGTCGTTATTGAAATAATCTCCATACCCCTCATTAAACATGCTTCTGTTTCCATGGGAATGCATTTTTAAATAAGAAGTGCAATGAATATTATTGGTTGTTCAGGCAGTTGGTACTGTGGTCGCCCAATCTGTCGTAGTTAATCAACTCTCATCTCTTTACACTGGCTGCAGTTATCAATGAGTTGAGGATTAATATTCTGGGCAAAGCAGATGATAAATCATTTGTATATAATTAGTGTACAGCAAGGTTACAGCTGACATGAATTTTTATCTTAATTATGAAAGAAATTTGTTCCATTAATTTAATTTAGTTTGCATGAGTGGCTAGACACCTAACGAAGTTAATCTTACACCTGTCATTACAACATTAAGGAGAGTCTCATTTTCAAGCTGTAGACACAGATACTCTAGCATATAAGGATAATGTTGCTCATTCTGATGTGAAAATAGATGATCATAGACAGAAGATACAGAGCCTACTCTTTTTAAAGTCTTCCCAAAGGATTTATGTGTGAATATTACAGAGACTCAAATCTGGTTGCCACTGTACTGAGTAGACTAATTTTCCCTCAGTCTTCCTTCTGTACTTCCCCATGAAAGAAGCATGCAGTACTTACAAACAAAGGGAAAGATTTCCCCTTATTTTTATAGATATGTATTTTAATTGCTTTAACTATATACCTGTAGTTAGCATGTGACAACACTGTAGCGCTTGTATGACATGATATCTGCATTAATTGCAATGGTAACTAAATACATGCTGCCTGCAATCCAGCCTTCATATTTCTGTGAAAAAGAATTATTCATAACTTCATCTACTATCCAAATGGCAATTATGCAGGCATTTCTGAGGTCTCAGCACACTGAGTAAACCTAAATTCTGTGTTAATTATCTAAGCAATTATCAGGTCTGATAAATCATACGTGATTGATAGACAAGGTGGAGCTGTTTGGGTAACAGGAAATGGTGTTAGTTATTTTGCTGATAATTAACCAAGCACCTAAATGAAAAAAGACTATTTGTGGTATCCTTTATAAAAATGTTTATCTTTATAGATTTGTTGATTATAGTTATTTTATTCTGGTAGGATAATTTTGGGAAAAGAAAAACCAATACCCAAGCCTTTTTACAGCTAATGAGATGAGACTGAATACAGTGGAGACAGAAATATAACTGAAGATTGCATTCTGCACTAGCTTGAGTCCAAATACATATTTGTAATACAAGCCACAGTCTCCTTCACATTTGCAGCATAAAAATAACCCTCGAACAGAAACATTAATTGAACAGTAACTCAGATTAATGTTTTGTAATATTAGTTCACAATTATTACTCTCAGCTAAGGTCAAGAAGTATATAGTTGGATATTCACAAAGAAATGACTGATTTAAAAACAAAGAGCTCTAATGGAATTCAGTAGTGCTTTTCAGTCATTCCAGTTGGCATCTCTATTACCTGAAATGATTCACAGTCCATTATGGGAGCTTCCATGCTAATAGAATGTCTATCTTCTGTAATACAGACACATCAGGGCACTAACTGAGAATCTGTCACAATGAATTTCATCTAGATTTCACTTCATCTCTTCATGGACTGTAAAATTTGCTCTTGTACAATGCCTAAATTTACTGTGGGTAATTGAGAGAGATCTATAGATGCAGCACACTGTAAAAAGGAGCTTTCGAAAGATCTATTGTAAATTGTACAGATTTGGTTCAGTTGGGAAAAGATTATGAAGTGCTGGGCACCAGTCTTTGCTAATTAAGTGTTTTTGGTGAGCTCTGAAAATATTTAGAATGGATCATGGTGAATAGAAAAGTGAAAAGAGCAGCCTGGTAAAAATGTCTTGCAGATAGAAAGGCAATGAAAAAAGCTTTTGAAATTTAAGAACCCCCTGAAAGAGGTAGGCAAATGAGTGAAAGTAAGCTCTGTTACCCCTTGTAAGACTTAAGGATCGTATCAAGTAGACCCATGATATTTTTTATCTGCGTTGTGTTTACATAGTGCCAAGTGGGATATTACCCACTTAATCTGACTTCCTCTATTCCTTTAGAAAATCCTCCTTAAACAGAGCAGGCAACTCCATTTTATTTTTTCTACCGAGATTACTCATCCCTAACTGAAAGTGTTGCTGTTAAGTTCTATGCATGGACTGTTGATAAAAAATTAAAATAACATTTAATGCGTGGCTCATTTTTTTTCCCAGCTGAATACTTACTGCCCTGCTCATGAGATAGATATGCTGAACATTTACAACCATTTTTTTTTCTTTTTCCTTTTTTTTAAATTTTACTTGTTTCTATTAAAAGCTAAATTAAATTATTGGTATCCTTACTAATCACAGACTTTAATATTTGTTAGCCAGTTACAATTGTGATATATTCTATAGCTTTTTTCCTAAGCTACAAACAGAATAATAGCATCACGCTCCACTGCAGGTGAAGTGATCTCAGCCTTTACATTAGGAGAAAATCAGAATGGTATGACTGCAGTTCATTACTGAAATAGGTAACTGATGAACTGAAAAGACAAAGGGCATTGTTAAATGAAATGTCATTATTAGAGCTGCTCATGTTTAACAAATGTACTGTAAGTTAATTCAGTGGTGTTTTCTTCAAAGTTCTCTATAGGATGTTCACCGCTCAGGCTTATGTTCTTTACATGTTCAAGGTATATTTATTTTCTTGGAGGAAACAATGCTAACTAAATCTTCAATAAACACCAGCTAAACTGTTGCAACAAATGATGTATCAACTTTTGTCGAAGGTTTACTTCTAGAGCTATTGCTCACACAATGACCTCTGAAAGAGAAGCCTTTTTGAATGTTTCCAAATTTTTTTTTATTATTATGTTTGAATAAATGCCTTGTTTTCCTCAGATGAAACTGAACGGTAAATTCTGATCTTCATGGGAAAAAGATTTAGTTTTTAGGCTCCAATTCAGCAATCTATGACTGTGGAGCAAAGCACTTTGGCATGTGTTTAACGTCAGGACCTGAAGCATCTGTTTTAATATGTTGCTGAATTGGGGCCTTAAAGAACAAGCAGAATCTTGGACCTCATATTTTAAGGGCTGTGTAAAAGTGGTGTTCTGATATTAAATAAAAAAATTGTACTTTCAGCATCTGTGGGAAACTGTTTTCATTGCCCCAGAAGTGATAAAAAATAATTTATAGACCTCAGTATTTTTCACAAGGAAATGACCTCAGCTTTGGCAATCTGAGGTAGTTAGTGAAACTTTTCTGTTACATTTATGGATTTACTTGAGCTACATATTCTTTGACCTATATTTTAGATTTATTGGCAGATACATAAGTCACAGTAAATAATCTAAAAAGCAATTGATGTGCTGTGCAATTTGTGCATGGATTGATTGACAGATTAAGAAGGGCTGCTTCTTCACAAGTGATTGAGACTTGTGCCCTTGCTTGTTATAAATATATCTGCTGGGGCGTCATGCACAATTTTTAACCAACAATTATAACTGGAAGATTAAAAGCATATTAAGACTGTAGTATATGTAAATATGAGCTTGAAAAGAAAATATGTTACAGTATATATCTCTACTACAGTAAGGGCAATCAAACTCTTGAGAGTAGCCTTGAAGCCCTCTCTTTCCTGAGCAGTTCCACTGGCTTGATACCTCAGGAATGGAACCGCTGAGCCAAGTCTGTGTTGCAGAGCATTAATGGTCCAAAAGAGGGGGACAAGAAAGGTTCCTCTCCTTCTGCTATTGCAGTATTGACGTTCAGATTATCACTGTTAATAGCTGAGGACTAGCCAGAGCTTGCTAGTATCTTGAACTGGTTTTAGAATTAAGATCTGGGCCTTGAGTGTGGTATGCAAGGCACTCTTCAAATGCTTTGCATAATCATACAGGATTGAGTAATTACCTTGGTACATAATGGAGAGAGAGTCGTGCTGTGTTTCCTCAGGTGGATCAATCACTGAGCTGTAAATAAGAGAAATAGATACTCTATTTGACGGTCTAGCATCTGATGGGAAATCACAAAGCCTTGTTTTTTTCATGAGACTGCTGTGGAACTAAGATATAAATGACATTAAGTAGATATCTCTAATATCTTTTCATTCGTTTTTCACTTTAGGTGAGGAACTTAAAACTTGCAATCAAATATACTGATATATCAAATATAATCATCATTTGCCTGCTGAAAATTGCAAAACAAACATCCCCCTCTCCTGTCCTTCTACCAGAAGTGAGATTAATTTAAAGTGTAAGGTAGGACTGTAAAAGTTACTCTCAATGTCGTTGTTCTTGTGGCTTTAAACTGATATTAACTCTTTCACACACTTTTTTTGGAAGTAAAAAAAAGGCATTATAAAAGTTTTAAAGCAACCCATGGTGATGTATCTTCATTCTCTCAGATGTAGCACAAGATACATAATAAAGAATAAAAGTTTACTCACTTGAAACTGAGCTTCATCCTCATCTGTTCAGCTATGCATAGGTTTTAAATATGGATGTAAGAAAGAAATGGTAATAGATTCTATCTGTTCTCCTGTTTCTTTGACCAGGAACATCACAAACAAAATAAACACGACTTGGATTACAAACAGCTATGGATAAATTAATATTTTCTGCTACCTGAATGTGCCACGGGTGATCTGGACACTGGAAATGAACCCTGCACTGTCTGAATATGCACGGAGCTCTGTGAGCCGGCCGAACATTTTCTCGAGTTATTGCCACCATTTGTTTAACTTTACTGCCATCTGCTGTTAAAGAAGGGAAGCTGTACTGCAGGCCCAGAACGTATCTGTGATGTGCCCAGGTATGGATAGCCCTATCACTTCTAACTCTTCTACATTTGATTGTGCTGTAAAGGACAGGAGGGAGATGTTTGACCATAAGTCTTGTGTCCTACAGGACACTATGGTGCCACTACCATTGGCAGGAGTTCTTCCAGTAGACTAGGAGATGCTGTGTTCCTTCTAAACCCTAAGGAAGCCAAAGGAAGTACAGACTGCTGCTTGATGCTATTGAGTGCATGCTTATACCCTGCCTAAGGGAGCATTTTATCACCCTCACATCTTGTGAAGACTCCAGCAACACAGCAACATGGACCTAACTAATGCCAGCATTCTTTGTGCATGTTTTCTCTTCTGCATCTTCTTCCCTCTTTTGGTCTAGAGGGAAAGTATTCCTCATGCTCTGTTTCACAGCACTATTGCCCTGTGTTCTTTCAGACAGATCCTGAAAAATCCCATCTTTTCCACCTAGCTTAGAAGAACAGCTCAAAAAGTAATTATAACAGCTCTCATTCTGTGAAATGGAAGCACCAGCAGTTTATTAGGAAGAGAGGACCAGACCAGGTGGACCATCAGCTCTTGTCATTCAGTATGTCAGATAGTTCCTTCCAGTCCAATTTCTTGATACTGTCATTTTCACTGTATTTAACAAATAGAAGTATGCTTACTATGGGTAATAGGTTGCACGCACAAAAATCAAGGCCATACAAGAAGTCTATGAATTGAAAAAAAAAGTAGACTTTGATTATGGAGAAGATCTTAAAAGTGGGATATATTCTACTATTGATGGGTACAGTTAGAGATGGGAAATATGTAAATGCATGATATTTTCCATTACTTCCTATGTACATTTATCCAGCTTTGACTGAATGACTTAGATCTTTGGCCTGATTCAGTATAAAGCAACAGAAACCTTTACCGGAGTAAAGGGATTACTGGAGTAAAAAGCCTTACTGAGGCTGGAGCCTCAGTAAACTCTGGCTGAGGCTTTCAGCAAAAATACTACTACAGAAGGGTTACTTGAAGATTAACCCAAATACTGTGTTTAGATAATTAATCTGGTAGCCTTGAAATGTAAATGATATTATACAGTTATATACATTTGTTACAAACAGTATATTTTTACTCTGCAGTGTCAGGGATAGGCTGTTGTCAGAAGCAGATTACCCTACAGCAACACCTACAATCTCCTTCCTTTTCTGATTTTTATTTTTTTTTTATTACTAAAAGGCTTGATAATGAATATAGTGGTAGAAAAAGCAAGATACAGTCTATCTGTCTCCTCTTATGCCCTAGCAATAAAATTGCAGTTCAGTCCTGATCACAGAACATCTGTTGCTATCAAAGTTAAATTACAAACTATATGGCTGTGAAAAAATGTAGCTCAATTTTCAGATAGTCTGTTAAGTGCAGACCTGGCAGTTAGAAAAATCTTATTTTGCCTTATAAATGGAGTGAATTTGATATGGAATTTAGTGAAGAAGTATCAGAATGAAACCTCAACGTGCCATTTCCCAAAGTAGAACAACATCCCTCAGGGCAACTAGATTTGCATGAAAAAAAAATATCCAGCACTGGGTTACCTGTTAGCACCAGAGTACATTCTGCTGGTCAGAATGTATTAACAGTCATACTCATGTCCAGATCATCTGAAAAACCTTTGTATGAGACATGGAACAAAATGCTCTTGAAAGAGTTAAGTAAAACCTTTTGGAAAGAGGTTGGTCTAGAGCTGACCAAGGAAAAAAGGTCACAGATATGGGGGGGTTCTTAATTTTACTTTTTGTCTCCATAAGTTTAAAATAACTGTTCTGACTCTAACTCTTTCACCATGCATTTCTTCTTTTCTTTGGTTTCTCCTATGAACCAAGTGGAGTTTCTCCTGTGAACATGCACTTTTTTGCACAACCACCCAGCATATTTGCAGGTAGACTTTCACAAACCAGCATCTCTTCAGATCTGGCTCAACACTTGAAATTCTGCCTCTGCTGGCAAGTTCATGGGAAATCACTGGCAGTAAGACTGCTGTCTTACTGCATGGCATCTGAGCCACTGATTGCCATCTCACTTTGGAACTTTCTGTTCACTTTGTCTCACTGAAAGCAGACTTTGCTTTTTTCTCTCTCACAGATCAGCACAGACCTGTTTTCTCTGAGCAACTATGAAGCATGCTGCTTCACTTCATATACACTTCCAGACATAAAGGCAGGCGAATCCTGATATGATGTTCTGATAGAGCATATGCAGCTCATTTCATCCTACTTTCTAAATCAAAAAATTGCACATTTTTTTTTCTGCTATACAAAGTGAGAAGTATAGCAAAAGGATTGACTACAAGGCAGTCAGCTAGGGAAGCAGAGACTGATGAAGAAGAATAGGCATTGTCAGATTTTTCTTTAAATCTGCAGTAGAAAAAGAACTGGGAGAGAGTCTAGCCAGGACAGGTTGAAACAGAGAAGTGGCTTTAAGCTCAGTAGAACAATAGTCAAGGCAAAAGGTTAATTATTCACTCTGTGGAAGTTATAGTCCCTGAATTAAAGGAGGCAGCTGCATCTCCCCCTTAGAAGGAGTTACTGGATTCAGTCACTGCTGTTCCACATGACCTGTGCTGAACTGCTGATGTATAGCAATGTTCAGTGCTTGCTGCTCAGCTTCCCACCACCCCTAGGCTTTCCAAAGTGAAAGGAAGTAATATCTGCTAAGTCCACCTTCAGGGAATGGACAGTTTTACAGGGTGACATTCTAGTTTACAAAAAGTCTGTATAAGAGAAGCAACATGCCTCTGCAACTACAGGTCATCACAGCCAGGGGTACAGTGCTAAAGGAGTATCAATGTGTTCTAAAAGCAGGGCCAGGTGACAGGAAGCTGGAAGAGGTTATACCCCTACATTGAAGCAGATTTAGGAGAAAAGAGGTAGTTGAACATCTACTTCTTATATATACTAAGCAAAAGTAACACCAATCCCAAGAAAGAAGGCAGCAGCAGTGGGAAGCAGAGCTTGCTGGAGCTTTTAATACTTGCTTTGTGAATGAGTAGTGATTTTAATAACCATTCTGAACCAACTCTACTGGATGGTGCATGGCATAGCCCAGGTGTTTGTGTACTTGTAGGAACTTTTCTCCTAATTTCAAAAGTCATGGAAGTTAGTAAGTCATCCGTTTTCATCTCCAGTTTCTAGAAGGCATAGTCACTGATAAAAGAGCATGCTTTGGGGATATGCACTATAACTCCAAACATTACTTCCAGCTTTTCAAACGCACAAGAATATGAACTACTGGAGACAGTGGAGAAATTGCTGGGAGAATTCTACACAAAAAGACCTCATTAGCCTTGAACTATTAAAAAATCCAACACAGTCACTGGAGTCAGCCAAACTGCTGCTTTTGAGTTGACTGATAAGAAAAATGCTAACAACCTTAGAGGTAAATCTTAGTCCTAAGTGGCCCTGCACAAAGGATGTGAAGCTGTGTAATAAGGCATTGCCAATTCTCTGCATTTTTATTATGGGCCTTGCAATATATGATGTTTGTTTAAAGCCCAGCTCCCAGAATCAAGAGATTAGATGAAAATCTCTGTTTTAATTAAGGAACAAACAAGAAAGGTTTTCTTCATTTTGTGGTTGCTGGAGAAAAAAAATCTCCAAGGGTGTAAAACCCCTCAAAAGCAGATAGAAAAAAACTTCATATTGATATATGATTTAGATATATTAAATCGCCTGATTTAAGTTGATTACATTATTTATGGATACTGATTTTTTAATGTCCATTGTTTAATAACACTGATACTAATCCCAGGAGAAGGTTTCTTTTTTTAAATGGCCCATCCTTTAATTAGCATCAAAACAAATTCAAAGAGATCCAAGCTCAAACCAGTTAATTCCTTTGTGATAACAATTGTGAAGGAAAAAAAGAAAAAAACAAGCAGCACTGATAGTTGATATTATACCTTTAAGACTGCAGCTAAGCCGGATATGCAATATAAAGAGAGCATCAATCCATGGCTGTTTCCAAACCAAGTTGCCACATGACTGACATTATACGCACAAGATAATAGCAATGGTATCACTCTGTGGCACACAGAAAAGGAAATAATCTTGTCTGAATCACATAAATTTGCCAAGGAGGAATCTTCCCCTTCTGGTATGTCACATTAGGTCTTTGCAAGACTGAACTGCAGATATCTGATTCTAAAAGCAGGAACCCCCACTGAAGTTGCCTCTCAGTTGTAAACAATACACACCTTTCTGGTCACAATGGGCATCTGGTCTTTCCATTAGAAAGGACAGAAGGCTATCATGAATCAATCTATCTAGCCTGCTATTGTCTCTGCACAAGAGCTTCTTCCAAGCTGCAGAGAGCACTGAATGTGATGAACCTTCACTGTGAATGTAGCCCTACAAGGTGGCTTTTTAACAACTGAGCTAAAATCTGGGTCTTCTAGACTTGTGTGTCTCTTGCCTTCTGTTTTTGACTTCTTGCCCTCTAAGTAAGAAGCTTTAGAAGTCTTGTACAAATTGGAAGCTAAAGCTCCTTCATTCTTTTGGGCAGCAATGAACCTCAGAAGTTATCATTTAGTATGATTGATTTTTTCTCCAACTCAACAACTACTGCAGCCTTCCTCAATATTGGTCACTGTACAAAACAGTGGACTTACCAGTTGAGTG